TTTTTTTTTTTTGGGGGGGGGGGGATGATTCTGCTAGGTTTCTTCCGACAACGTTTCTATACTGTCGTGATTACATTATGTTTCTGTAAAGGAAGAACCAAACCTGGAGGGCATCATCATGTTGTTCCTTGTCTGCAGGACGAGACCCCAACGACGAGTCACTGGCCATACCGGTTCTGGTTCAGGTCCGCGGCTTGATCCGCAAGGCTCGACCCGACACCTACAACGAGGATCTCCTCAAGGATTTGGACAGAGGGCGTTCGACTGAATTCGAGGTTGGTCCTAGAAAAACAAGTTCCCCTTTTCTACTTTTCCACAATGTCGTCGATTCACCTGAAAAATACTATTCCGGTTTTCATCAACAGCGAGCCATCCTGCTCTGGGCTCTTGACCCGGCAGAGAGAGATGCCTTCTTGGCCAAGAAAGCAACGAAATTGTTCACTTCTAACAACTGGGTCGTAGTGGAAATCGCTTGCACGAGGTCAAGTTTCGAGCTTTTCAATGTCAAGCAGGCTTACCAAGCTCGTTACAAGGAATACCTGGAGGAGGATGTCTCTTCCCACACTTCTGGAGATCTCAGGAAGGTAATATTATAATATTACTCAGTCGCTTGCTTTTGTCAGATTCTGCTGTTCTGTCCGATTTTTGGTGATAGATGTATCCATTTGTGCAGCTTCTGCTTCCTCTTGTCAGCACATTCAGGTACGAGGGAGAGGAGGTCAACATGATGCTGGCGAGATCCGAGGCCAAGATACTTCACGACAAGATCTTGGAGAAGGCTTACAGTGATGATGACTTCATTAGAATCTTGACCACGAGGAGTAAGTCTCAGCTCGGAGCAACGCTCAACCACTACAAGAACGAGTATGGAAACGCCATTAACAAGGTAAGGTAGAATTCGGGCAAAAAGCCACACAAAATTCCGATTCAGATTTTAGCTCTATCTTGCAGAGAAAACCCTAATCCAGTATATGCAGAACCTGAAGGAAGATCCAAAGAATGAATACCTCAAACTACTCAGAGCAGCGATCAAGTGCTTGACCTACCCTGAGAAGCACTTCGAGAAGCTTCTGCGTCTAGCCATTAACAAGATGGGAACAGACGAGTGGGCGCTGACCCGAGTGGTCATTACACGAGCAGAGGTGGACATGGACCGCATCAAAGAGGAATACCTGCGCAGGAACAGCATTCCACTAGACGACGCCATTGTCAAAGTCACTTCTGGCGAGTACATGGACCATCTTCTTATCCTTACCCGACATGGAAATGCTTTCAAAACTCAGTAGCCAGGACCAAGCAGATAAGGTTTTTCACCTGTTTTCCTGCGTCTTCCTTAGCTTCCTCGGTTTCTATGACCAGTTGTTGAAGAAAACTGTTGTGCGGCATTGAGGCAGTGTTATATATCGATGCTCTTCTAGATTGATTGGTCTCTGGTTTTGCTGATTACATCTATCTAGTATCTAGTGTCCATAATCTGCACCATTGCAGGTTTCACAATCTCTATAACCACAGAGATCCAGCCATCTCTGTTTCTTCTTCTGTCGTCTTCACAATATGTAAAGCTTGGACCTTTGGATCAAACTTCAACAAAGGATGCTTACCATCTTCCAAAAATCCGATCTTTCACCGAACCCATGACGACCCATCTCTCCATTTCCATTACCCAGAGACTGGAAATCGGATTTCCGAGACATCTTGTGTACAAACTAACACTCATATATTGTCTATTTAATGCGCATTGAAAAGTTCTTACATACACACGAAAGAAAAATAAAGATAATTGGAAACAACAAAATCAATTTCCTGTACTAATTTGAAAACTTACAATTTCCTTGACGCATGTTTCTTGATTCTAAGACAAAAAAAACAGAGACACGTTGTTTTTCTTCTCAGACTTGTTTACTTGGGCTTTCAGACATCCTCGTACCTTTCCTTGGGTTCTCTGAAACACCAGTCTCGTTTGTTTACAACTCTTGATCCATTGCAACTGTTCAATGTTCCACCTGTTCTGCTCAATGGTTTCATAGCACATCTTCTGCTAGCTTCGTGCCATATCCATGCCTCATGTCTGAAGAATAAGCTAGGGTTTAGACTCGTAAGACTCTGTAATACAGCATGAAGAATCGAATGACTAGACGTAATCTTGTGGCTAAAGCAGAAAGGTTTTTACCTTTTGGAAGTGGTTTATCATATTTATCTTTCGGGTCGTCGTTGTCGTCGTCATCATCATCCTCATCATGGCCCATCTGATCTCTTCCGTCATCCCCTATATCGCTTTCACTGGCCGTCTCCCATTCCGAGTCATCGCTTTCATGCCCATACACATCCCTCTCATCACCTTTGCCATGAACACCCCCATGCTTCAGAGCCGCCTCCCTAAACAACCAAGCAGCTCGCATTTGCTTCTTCACCAATCTCTCTGCGTAATCCGGAACCTTGTTTTGTCTCAGAGAAAGATCCGGATCATTTGACTGAGAACACTCGTTGATGAATAGAATCGCGTCTAACAAGCTCTCTTTCGCTAACCCGAGCATATCGTATGCCTGAGCCCTTCTCCAAAGGCTTTTGGCATGCCTGTTAACCGGGTTGTGCAGACACAGAGCACGAGTGGCGTCGCTAATGGCTGCCAATGGCTGCTGCAGTAAGAGATGGCACTGAGCTCGATTACTGTATAACACGACTCTTTCCTTCTTGGACCTCATCGGGCATAAGGATAACGCTTCTGAGTACTTTCCTGCTGCACCAGCGATGTTTCCTGACGAGAAGAGGGAATTCCCTTCGAGTTTTACCACTAAAGCTGCTGCTTGTTTTATGTGAAGATCCTCTTTCGGCATGTTCTTCTCCCATTTGAGCCGTTGCCGGGAATTTACTATCTCTTCGATTGATTCCTTCGATTGATTACTCATGGAGTTGCGTCCCGGGCCTTGTGATTGGAGGCATTCTTGAAGAACGCTGACTATGGAATCTCCAAGTTTCTTGTGGTCTCCAAGGTTTGCAATTTCAGCGAGGTCCACAAGGGTTGGCACTGCCTTATCGATCATCTGGAAAAAGGATCGTCGTTAATGGCATAAAGGCATAAAGAACTCAAGAAAGAATCTATATCAATCAAATACCTTGTGACATGTATTAGGATCTTGAAGCAGCCAAAGAAGACATTCTATTGCCATATACTGCCAATCATCGGAAGAACGAGCGATATTACACAGCGCCTCAATCATTCCGGCACAAGTAGAGACGGGTCCACGGCCGAGTTTATGCTGACAGATTGTTCTCAGCAAACCAATTCCGGCTGGTGAGTTCTCGTTAACGAGCCCACCCCACAATCCCGGAAGACTCACCAAAAACTCGGGTTTGCACAAAGTAGGAAGAAACTCGGGTTTAAAGGCAAAACAGTTAATGAGCTGAAGCGACCAGCACTGCAGTTGGCTAGCCCACTCCTCGGCTTTTCTCGACTCCATTTCGACACCTCCCATTCCGCGTGTCAGCAAATCACAATGGTAACTCAGTCTTCGATCCACGTTCTGATAAAAATGAGAATAAACAATCTCCAATGAACTCATAGCTAGTTGGATGGCAAGTTCGAGGATTTCCCCGTGATTTGCCACAGCAGGAAAAGTGGACGGGTAAGTAGCTAAATGCCCTAAAGCTCGAACAGCCACTCTCTGTTCGACCCAAGTGAGACGACCCCTCAAGAGTTCAACAAGGGGAGGGATGACACCGGCCTCCACAGCTCTCTCTGCAAATTCTTCCATATTCATGGTATAAGATCCGATTATATGAGCGGCATAATATGGGATGTATATGTTCTGGTCATGTGAGAGCCAGCGTCGGTTTTTCAGTCCTTTCCAGATCAACGCAGACATACACTCGAATATTCCAAGATCGATGAACTCGGGATCGTTTGGGTGAGCCATAGCAGTATTCCAGAGGCCACTGATCGGGAGGACTTGACCGTCGTCATCTTGAGAAGGAAGATCCCGAAAGAACTTGAGAATGCATGATCTTCTTTTGCTCGGGTTGCCTTCTTTCATTACACAGAAGAAACATCCTGGGTAAGGACAGTCCTGGGAAGCTTTATCCATTGCCAAAACTGTATTGTTTTTGCTCTACCCTTTGCAAAGTTATTAGCAAATTAACCATCAGGTGGATGAAGGGAAATATCAACGAGAGAACAATACAGCATCGGTCGATGCAAACAGAAAACATATTTGTATCAACAAGAAAATGCATTCCATGGAAATCAAGACAATAAAATGCCTTTCATTACACAGAAACAACATTACTGCCATCTCCAGAAACTTTAATTGCCGAAAAAAACGCACGAAAAACACTTGAAACCGAAGAATTAACACATCTCCGTGCTAAGTCAAAGCTGAAAACGAAAGGCCAGATGAAACCAGATGAGAATAAGCGTCTAGAAATAGATAAATTAAAATAAAAATGGTTACAATTTCAGAATCCGACAGAGAAACGAAAGAGACAGCTGAGATGTAATGATATATCTAGGTGTAACATGATCAAAACAAACTGCAGAAGAACTCGTAATTTTACCCCAAAGTAAACAGAATCCACACCTAATTGATCTCGCGACTGAACAACTGCATCGCTCGCACCAAATTCGATTAGATCTCTCGGGGGTGGAAAACCATCAAGAACTGAACTTTCTCAAATGGTCTAACAGTAAGATCCAATTCCCAAACCCTCAAACCCAAGCTAACCAGCTACGATTATCCAAACCCAGTAGAGAAAAATCCCCAGTAAACATTTACGGGAAGAAAGGTCAAATCTTTTAGAAACCCAGAAAAATCGGTCCCGCATTCGTTACACCAAAGGAGAAAAAGAAGTAAAATTTCCACTTAATTTCGGGGGGAAAGACGGGGAAAGGCTAAAGGAACGGAAGATACCTACGAAGAGCGAAGCTACGAACAGTACGAATCCATAAAGCAACTCTCTGCCCGAATACGAGGAAAAAAATTCTTACCTCTTCCCAAACAGTAGATCACTGCTTCGCCTGCATGTGATCCTCGCGATTTATAAGCTGATAAGGAGCAGATGCAGTAGAGAAACCGTCGTTTTGATTTTTTTTCCCCCTTTTTTTTAGAATTCGGACAGTGAAAAAGAGGAGAGAATGAAGCTCTCGATCGTTTTGTAAAAGTTTTGAGACAAGAATCAAAAGTGATTTGATTTGATTGGGTTCACAACGGGAAATCGAAACTTCCCAATATTAAAGACGCTGAAATGAACTCCAATTCCCCAGTGCCGCGTCTATCACACGCGCGCATATCCGGTTCGGTTCGGTACAACACCATGCCTAAACCAAACCTTTTGAATTTATTACTAAAAACATTTCCTGAACCAAACTGTGAATATGGATAATCTTAAGATTTGATTCGAGAAGTATCAGTAACAGCCAGAATTGTAAGAGAACAAGAAGATAAATCATTAGAAATAACAAGGGTTTGGTATTTGAATATAATTCTGAACCGGTTTGGTTTTACTAAACCGGATAAACACTCAAGATCCGGTGGTTTGGAGGCAGTTCTATTGAACGGTCTGAATACCGACGGGGAGAGCGCGTGGAGATGCTTCTTTATGTATACATATACTACGTATATACGTGCGTATGTCTGTATATGTATGTATGTATGTATTGGAAGGAGACAGGGTAGGGCCATGGCCACGCCCATGGCAATGGAATGGACGAATCGACCGTACCTTTGGAGACCCACACACCTTCATGTCAATCTTCACACAACGGACATTTTTCCCATATCGAGGCTCGTTCATTTGGTCTTTTTATACGTTAAATTTTATTTCATTATCCTCTACAAATTCTCAACTAATTATATAATCCATCAATTCGATCGGTCCATATTTATCAATAAATATACATGTATTATATGACATAATCAATAAAGTTTTGAAGAAAGTACATTCATGCTAATTCCGTGACAGAAAGTGAGGGGAAAACAACAAAGAAAATAACCCTAATTAGTAAAAACCAAAGTACTTCTTTCACTTTCAGAATATATATATATTAGAATTAGTAAAAGAGAGGGTAAATAAATATTCGAATTTTAAAAAAATTTAAATAATTGAAAGTCGTTAAAAAAAATGCGATCTTCACAGTGATAGGTTGACATTATCCTCGTAAAATGTAAATATGTTTTTTACCGAATTTCAGAGCATAATACAACGACATTCACGTGACAAGACAGCCTTTTTTTCATAAACTAATCATAATTAAGAATGACGAGCAAGACTGATGCGTGGGCGACAAGCAAACGTATAAAAAGGCCAAAACTCAAGAATTGTTACATTACTAACACTACCATTTTAATTTTTAACCATTCGTGTTATAAAAAAAAAAAAACTCTGACGTATACAGAATGAATCGCAAGATCAAGAACTTCGAATCTTGATCTCGACATTGTCAAAGTCGCAAGCCCTCGTCTGCTTCGTGTTGCTTTAGGAGATATGTCTGGTCGTGTTCGTGTTCGTGTTCGTGTTCATCCAAATCCGGACAAGGCAAGGCGTTGTCTTCTCCGAGATGCTGCATCTCTGACTCGATCAACGCCTGCATTTTCGCTCTCTGCCGGTCTCTCGGGTAAGTGCAGTACAGGAACGAGTAGATGGAGCAGCAGATCGCCATGGGAATCCCGATCGCTGTGTAGAGCGCCTTGGCCAGCGAGGCAGCGTTTTCTCTGTCGGTTTCGATCTGGATCGAGACAGAAGATCCTTTTGGGATCGGTCTGTATCCGTACACGTTCTGAGCAAGAATCCCGACAACTGGAGGAGCAAACGATGATAGAATCGACTCGAATGATCTGTCCAAGGCGTAGATGCTCGTCCTTGCCCTCTCAGGAACAATCTCCGCAAATATCGGACTGTACAAAACCGTATATACCCATGAAACTGTTGCTGAAAAGATCCAGACAAAACAGAAAGATGTCCCAAACAGTTATAGCAAGGTTGAAATGAATAATAACTCACTTGTTCGTAGCAGGAGCGTTCCATGAGATGCACAATCCCATGATGAACAAGACCAAGCCGTGATTAAACGCAGTGGATGGATCGTCAGGCAATACAAGAAGCAGAATGGCGGCTAAGGGAATGGCTGAACCAGAGCTTATCTGCGAGAGAATTATTCTCCCGGAATTCGGTAACTTCTTGGCCAGAGTATCTCCCATCCATCCGCCAAACAATCCCCCTACCGAACCAGCAACTATGAACAGTGTCATGAGAAGGGCAGTGGTTTTGTGAGAAAACCCGATGAGCTCTAACCACATTGGCGCAAAAGACAATGCCGACCAAGGGAATGAACCCGAGACTCCCTGCGCGACGATGATCTGGAAAGATGGGACCTTTATCACTTCCTTCGCTTCTCTCAGCAAAGCTTTCATGTCAGACCAGAATGTCTTGTGATGGGCTGTCTGAATTGTGTTGAGCTTGTCGTTGCTATAACGAGGGTCAGTTGCGAATAGGCGGACCAAGATGCCGACTATCACGCTTACCAGACCGATTAAGTGGAAAGCAATTCTCCAGCCGGGAACTCCCAGGAAAGATGTTGAAGCAATGAGAACAGAAGAGAGACCACCTAGGATGGAACCGATGTTTGCTGTCAGATGGAGCCAGCCAAACGCCATTCCACGGTTACTGTCATCGGTCGAGTCAGCAATCAGTGACTGGATGGCTGGTGTGACAATGGCGAGTCCTATTCCGTTCAAGCCCCTTGAAACTGCCACCTGGTTTAACACCAAAAGGATCGATTTTTATGTTGCTGGTGATAAGATTACTGTGGTTCACACAACGCAAGGGTCTGGTTTGTGTCTCGTGGGTTTCCTATTCAAGAAAGAAAGAAAAAAATGATCATGATCCATGACAAATTGTACATCCATTTTGGTTATGACCGTTATGTAAAATCCAATTTCATTTCCTGGAAAAAAAACTTCAGAGAATTTGTTTTATCGCTGAGGTTCAAGCAATCCCCTTGATCGACCAATTTCATTTTCATACCATTTTCCACTATTCTACAGACATCGGACAGATCAGTGTATAAGTAATCACTGCCCGGAAAACATCTTCGGCCAATAACACGAACAAATCGGCCGTCGAATTCAACAGATGACTTAAACAGAGCGACAAGACAAGAAAGTCAAACCTGGAAGAAGGTGGTGGAGATGGCGACCAGGAACGTGGCGGCGGACCAGAGGAAAGCGCCGAGAGCGATGACGTGAGCCCGGTTATGGCGGGAAGCCAGGTAAGCGGCCAAAGGGTAACAAGAGGACTGAACAATGGACCGGAACAGTGTCAGAGACCCGAGTCCTGTCGGATCGATGTGCAGAGCGGCTCCGACCTCCTTGTACACTCCCGGAAGCAAGGACTCGTCGGCTCTCTCCATGATTCCGGCGAAATTCACCAGAACCAGCGTCATTGTCTCCGGCTTCATCTTCTCTCCCCCCGACAGGATCTCGACGGCTGAGATTGGTCTTTCTAGAGGGTTTTACTGTTTCAACGATGACTTGTAGATTGACCTGGGTAGTAATACACTGCGAGTGAGAACAAGTGTGAAGACGGGTTGAAAACATATCTACGGTTCATATTGAGCTAACGGACACGTGTACGGCTGTAAATCATTTATTAGTGGAATCATAAAGCCTGACCGTCCGCACTGGAAAAGGTTTTTATAGTATGTGGGACCAGATTCCACGTAGGATGTGAATTCCCTGGTTTATGATTGGTTAGAAGATTAAAATTTAGGTAAGCATAACAGATGGCGAAAGGCAGCGTTTTGGCTCCCAGCTGACGTAATCAATAATTAAATTGGGTTTCGAAATAATGGAACGGGCTTTTTTATTTACGGGCCCAGTTGAAACCTTAGCTTATTCTTTTACCATATGGGCTTTCGTTCAATATAAGCCCACAAGCAAATTCTGTGATTGGATTTGCCAATTATTAAAATGAACACTAAAATTATAATTTTTTTTTATATAAAATGAGAGAAACCAGGTCACACTCTAATAATAAGAAAATATTATTTTTCAAATAATTAATAAAATAATAATATACCTCGCAATATCTATCATAGTAATCTAAATGGTAGGAATGAAGAGAAATAGAGTTTGCAAACCACGAGTGGCAAGTAAGACAAATAAAGAAAGGAAAGAGTTTCAAGTAGTAGGAATATTAAGAGCAAAAGCAAAATCATTCCTCCTTTCCCATTGCCATCAAGAACTCACCCTCGCAAACAATGGAGTTTCCGACGTATGCTTTCCCTTCCATTTTCGCAATGCCAAAACGTTTCTGAAGCTTGATGAGAGTCATCCTCATCACAAGAGTATCGCCTGCCACCACGGGCTTCCTGAATCTAACTTTGTCAATTCCAGCAAAGAAGAAGTTATCCCGAGAGCCGCCCACTTCCGGTTGCAGCATCACTATTCCTCCAACCTGAGCCATTGCCTGGATCAAGAGCAAAAGCTCTTCAGTTCTTTCTTGACATGTAGGAGGAAATCCGCAAAGGACAGAAGAATGATCCAATCCAATTCTTCTACCAATTACTCAACATTGACAGTCTAATAATAAGACTTTAACCTTTTGATGTGAGAACAAATGCAGAACTCGGTGAACCATCAAACATGAAGAAACATATGAACTCTTCAACAAGAACTATAAGACATGAGAATAGAACATATGTTTATTTTATTTTGATCACAATGTTATGAATTTCCCAGGGGATCACGACATTTGTTTCCTAATCAGAGTCATCTGATTCCAACAGTCCAGCAAACCAGAAGAATATTGCCTAGTAGAAATATCACACACAACAAGAATCTTTAGGAGAAGGGTTTAAAGTGTCCAAATCCCGTGCAGAGGCCTTGAGAAATCATAAGAATCACCTAAAAGGATCAGCCTTTCCAATGGCATGCAACCAAGATATCAAAATAGCCCCAGTCGAAGAGACTTCTGGTTGAGATTTCAGTACTATTTGGCACATAAATCTTTCAACTCACCTAACTAACTATGAAGCAATACCTGCAACAAAGTGTGACATCTTTATCCAGTATAATCTTTTGGGCAATTTGTTCCAATGTCCAAGTCAGATACCTTTCTTATCCGAGATTATAGATCTATGCCTATTTGTTTGGATAATCACCAAAGGCGGGGGGAACCAATATGGGCGAGGCCGGGAGATGGTTTAGTTTTATCAATATAAAACTCCATGTGACATACTTATCATCTGGAATATGCATTCCGACAGAAACTTCATACAAAACATCCTCCTGAGTTTCCCCTGATTCTAAACCAATACACAAGTAATAGCGCCATTCCAAAAATCAACGACTACTAACTTCAATTCTTTCAGCCCTTTGTATAACCAACTTCCGAACAGCGAGGAACGCATAGCTTATCAAGAATGTCTTAGACAACAGAAGCACGTACGTAAACTAAACCCACTTTCAGGGGAAGAACAAACCAGCCTTTGCAATTACCTCAACCATAAGAACGCCCGGCATTATAGGCCTTTCAGGGAAATGCCCAGGAAAGAAGTTGTCGTTAATGGTCACGTTCTTTATCGCTACGGCCGATACACCAGGCGTGTACTCTATCACTCTATCCACTAACAGAAATGGGAACCTACAGAACAATTCCCATCGGATTGAGAATCGACCCAAAGTTCGAATATCGTGTCAGAAAGTACAATTTGAAAGATACGTTGTGCAGAAATTCACCTGTGTGGCAAAATCTCTCGAATCTTATTTACATCCATCACCGTAGGAAACGCCTCGTATTCTGTAAACTCGACGTGAAATATTTTGAGAAAAAAAAAATAACAGAAATTGGGATCTAATTCTAAACAGATTACGGGGGATCTAACACAGTCACGGAGAGAACATTACTGAATTCGATTGGAGTCTTTGAGAAAAAAAAAATAACAGAAATTGGGATCTAATTCTAAACAGATTACGGGGGATCTAACACAGTCACGGAGAGAACATTACTGAATTCGATTGGAGTCTCTTTCTCGCTGTTGGAGCCATTCGGGGAGCACAAGACGAGCGAATTGGACCGGCGGTTGACACGGAACGTGGCGGAGCTGGATCTGGAGACAGGAAGAGAAAAATGAGCAAGGTCCCGAGTCGGACGACTCAGTGAGTTAGAGGAAGCGAGGGAGAAGAGCGAGTTCGACGCAGCGGCCATTGTCGATCAGTGGAGAGTCTGGAGACAGCGAGGGAGCAGCGGAGAGTTCAATGCGAGTTTTCAAAGACGGTTCAACGGAAACATTGGTTCAGTGAATAATAATAATAATAAAAAGGGACAAACGGGCCTTCTTTTGAGAGGCTTTGGTATTTTGGGCTTTTCGGATGAAATACTGTAGGCCCATTAATACACGTAATTACCAAAACGCCCATTATTTAGTGTGTGAACATCGACTCGTGAACAAAGTGATTATTTTTTATATTAATCAATGTTAAATCGTATAAAAATAATAAATTATTCATTTTATAAATTTCATTATTTATATTTGAATTTTTTTTGCTCTTTTTGTGTGATTGTGTTGATCCAAAAAAAAATATAGTATATACAAAATATTATTGTATCCACTAATAAATAAAGGTGTACATAACAAAATTGAATATCTTTTGGAAACTGCTAAAATATTGCTTTTTATTTTAAAATTTTGTTTTGGATTTTTGGTGGATTCATGTAAGTATTTAAACTAAAAATGACTTTTTTCCTAAAATTTTGTTAACCCGATCAAAATTGATTGATTTATTTTTTCTAGAAATTAGGATATTTCGTTTGTCCTTCACAATCACATGTGTAAATGAAATACTCACATCAAATATAGAAAAATCAATATTTTAATGCATGCCAGTATTTTTAACATATTACAACTTTGAATATCCACATTTTTTTTACGACTCATAAGACACTCATTGTAGAATACTAAAAACAATTATAAAAAATTTCCATTATTTTTTTTTTTTGGTAAGTCGGGTTTCCCCGACCCAAGAGCCCAGACTAATCTCGGCCCACGCATGGGAGCCTGCAACACACGTGGATGTAAATAGGCCGAAATCGGCAGGCGAAAGAGGAATCTCCATACTCTGGGTGTTGAACTCACGACCTTGTTTAGAGAAGTGAGCTCTCAACCAACAGAGTTTGGGTATTCCCCCAAATTTCCATTATTATTATATATTATATTTTACTTTCCATTTTAATATTATGTTAACTGATAAGTATTTATTATATATATATATATATGATAACCCTCAATTTTTAATTATTATCATCACGTATTTTATTCAACATGCAGGTATAGTACGTATGTATTTTATACATTCTTTTAAAAAATAAAACAAATAAATTTATTACCACGTTACTATTCAGCAAAGATAAAAGTTCACTCCACTATAACTATTCATAAAATTATATCTCGATTTTTTTTTTTTTTTTGCAATATCTACATCAAAGAAAACCCTGTCTTATTTCCCCATCCATTGGTAAAAAGAACAGACACAGCTAACGACCCATCAGAACCTCACCATACCCAAAACTGCCCAAATTATTTATTACCCTGTTTCCTTTGTCAATCACACCTATATAATATATTTTTCTAATATGGTACATTATTTTATTTTATTTTATTTTTGTTAAACATACACTATTTTATTATTGTTATAAATTATGGTTAGTCCACCGAAACTAAAACAATATTATAAGAGTATCAAGCCAGTTCATTGCATAATCATTTACCTTCACCAATGGCAAAACAAAACAAAAAATAGTGATATTACCTTAGTTTTAAAAGAGGAATAACGAAAATTTCTACGATATCGCAATTTACAACGTATTATAATGTTTTATTTGATTTTAGTTTCTTTGTTATACTTAATTTTTGACAAAAATAAAATGATTTATATAACAAACCGATAAATAAAATATAACTAAAACAATTGTCGTGCTTCCTTTTTAAATTTTTTTTACCCTTTCTTTTGTTTTGGCAACCTTTCTGCTTGACAGCGGAGGCAATGTAAAAATGCAGGATGCAAAAGCAGTAAAAAGTAAAAACAACACATGACAATTCTTCTTTATTTATTTTTATTTGGTTTGTAATAAGGGATTATTAAAAGTCAAACTTCCATTATAAGCACAATGATATTGACCCATCGCCTTTAATGAAGCAACTTGTCGGTTCGATCTGTTTATCTAGATTTAGCATAGCAAACAGTAAATTATGTCAAGTTTTTAAATATTCTATGAAAGCAACATTAAAGACTTTTTTTTTTTTGATAACCGGTTAATCCCATGTCCAAAGGACCCAGACTAATCCCGACCCATACGCATAACCGGTACCACACGTATGGGATGTGAAGCACCCGAAGATGTCCGGAGGTAAAATCTCCGTACCCTGGATATTGAACATTAAACACTTAGGCTTCTATTTTTTATTATGAAATAATTACTTTTTATTGCTTTATATGTATATTCTCATACCTGTGGTCACATCTACTTCTGCAAATTTCGAATTTCCCCACTTTTTTTATTCCTTTAATATCGTTTTATAATTAATTTGATAGTGACTTAATTCCAATAAGACCTCCTAATTATCGTATTACCGTCACATATTCATGCGCATCAACAAACGGAATCAAGTGAATTGAGTTGGAGGGTATGTGATTAATTTTCTTATTAATAATTCATCATTTTATCACATGTCTCCAAATTAAAGGATTTGGAATTTCACTCAATTAACCATGAGTGAGACATATGACATGTTTTGCAGATTTCATAAGGCTCCCTGTAAATAATTAAAAGCCAAGTCTGTTATCAGTTCTCGTCGTTGGATCTCTCTCTCCCTCTCTTTCTCTCCCATCATCTTCTCGTACTGTTTCAGAAAGCCAATTCACGCAGAGAAAGCGACACCAACACAAAGCTGTATAAAAAACACAAAGGGTTTGCTCCCTTGTCCGAAAAAATCATCGGGGATGGAAGAATTGAGAAGCAGAAGAGTCATGGAGACAAGCCCAGAGAGACGACGAAGGTCGTTATTGAATAATAACCGCCAAGAACAGGGCAGGGCCAAGAAACCAATGTCGAGAAGGGTCCAAGTTGTGTATTATCTCACGAGGAAGGGTCAGCTCGAACATCCTCACTTCATGGAAGTACTCGCTCCCTCGAACCAGCCGCTTCGCTTAAGAGGTAAGAACTCTAACAAAGAACAGAGTAGCAGTTCAGTTCGAAGCCCATGTACTCTGCTTATTGTTATAACTCACCATATTTATGTTAAAGTTTCGATTTTTATCGTCACTGATCAATTGGGTTGTCTCCATCTCCTCGGAAATCTCCGTTGGTCATGTTTCCTTAAATTTTGTCCGTGAAGATGTAATGAAACGGCTGACTGTTCTCAGAGGCAAGGGCATGCCGTCTCTGTATTCATGGTCGTGCAAAAGGTAACGTACGTAATGCAAAACATGCATGCACACGTAGACATTTTCCAATGTCTTAAAACCGAAATTATGTAATCGGGTTCTGTACATAATGACTTCATCAGGAGCTACAGAAATGGATACGTATGGAATGATTTAGCAGAGGATGATGTCATTTACCCTTTGGACAATACCGAATATGTGTTAAAGGGTTCTGAGGTTGTGGACGGTTGTTCCGGTGAGTTCATCAAAATTTCACACATGCCCGTCGAATTCTCCGTTCATTACAGGGTTTTTTGGTTTTTAATTAAAATTGCAGAGAAATTCCAAGAGATTCGAGAGAGCATACACAAGCCATCTTCAAGCCACATGCAAGAAGCACCAAACGCTCGTCTTCTCCGATCTAAACCGGAACACCATGACAGAGCAAACAGATATGTCGGAAACAGAACGGCGTCGTTTGATGATCAGGAGCTCTTCGCCGGCGACCCAGGGGAGGATGTGGAGGAGGACGGAGAAGAAGAAGCTTACGACATGGACGAACCGAAAACAAGCTACACTTCCTCCACGACGCCGCAGTCTCGTTGCTCTCGAGGCGTTTCGACCGAGGAGCTTGAATTTACCGACCAAGAACAACGACGGTGCCCTGCGAAGCCTGTCCGGTCCGGGTCATCCGAGTCGACTCGCTTGGACTCGGCGGAGCTCCAACGACCTGGTGGCGGTGACGTTTCGAAGCGGTTCGAGGACGGTGACCCTGTGGGATCCGGGTCAGGTCCATGGGGTCGTGGGTCGGTCCTGATGCAGCTGATCGCGTGCGGAAACATGGCGGTGGCGAAAGCCAAGAACGCGTCGAACCTGAGTTCGAAGCCGAAGGATCAGGAGAATCTTCGTAAAGGTGTGCTGTGTAAGAAAATCGCGGCGAACAGAGCTGTCGGAGAAGAAGATCTTGAGATGATAAAGATCATGTCGGATAATCCGAGGTTCGGGAACTCACAGGCGGAGGAGAAAGAATACTTCAGCGGAAGCATAGTGGAGACGGTGAGTAAGGAACGAGTCACGGCGGAGCCGGTGCTCAGGAAATCGAACTCGTTCAACGAAGAAAGGTTAGCGCGTGACTGAGTTGACTCGGTACTCGCATTTGCATGGAGAAAGTTCTTGGCGTAACCATTTATATAAACCGACCGAAAAGAATTTGTATGCATACACATGAGTTTATTTGTTTTTTTAATGTTGAATTGAACAGAAATAAGCGCATAGGAACAAGCGACGAAGGCAGCGAGGAAAAGATGAATGTGAAGGGGAAATGCATGCCGAGAATAAAGAGTTCGTGCTCTATTTCGTATTCGAAACAAATAAAAAATTGAACTTTGTGTCATCTATTATATGGTTAGCACTTAGCAAGCAATATGTGGTAATACCACGTGGCATGTTTTACTTTTATCATTTATTATCGTGTTGTTAAATTCTACTTAGGTTCTGAATTGTGATGTTGGTGGTATTAATGGAAGTTGAAATGATTTTGTTGTTTGTTTGTTTTTTTAAAAGAAAAATAATTCCGCTTTCACTACTTTTCATTTTACTGAAATGATTAAATGAAATAAAGGTGGAATAATTTAATTAAGGATCCCACAGCGTTTGAATAGACTCTACTCCCGATGGGAAATTAATGGACAAGAATAGAATAGTGGCAAAATCGCAAATAAACGATTCGCGAATCCGGCGACTTTTCCTCCCCCTCAAACCGCAACTAGAATTAACCAACGATGGAAATGAAAACGTGAGTAATAATAAAAAATTATCCCGATTAAACAATTATGATAGAAATGGATAAAAGAGAGAAGACTCGCGAATTATTATTTTATAGTATTCTAGACACGTGTCGAAAAAGGGCAAACATGTGAATGGATAAAGATGAAAAAAACCGAACCGGGCAGTAAAAATAGGAAAAATTGAGAGTTACGAAGGAAGGCTTCGACATGCGGACATGTTACGTGTCTCCCGTCAAAGAATTTCTCCTCCCCCCTTCTAAATAGTTACAGTTCCGGCGACTTAGTTACCGTTTTCTGTACCAAATTAAAAAAAAAAAGGTAAAAGAGAAAACAAAATTAGGGCTCGGAGAAGAGAAGAGAAGCATTGTCTGATCGGAGAAGCCATGGGCCGGAGGAAAGTGGAGATAAAGCGAATCGAGAACAAGAGTAGCCGTCAAGTCACTTTCTCCAAGCGTCGAGGCGGTCTGGTCGAGAAAGCTCGTCAGCTCTCCGTCCTCTGCGACGCCGCCGTCGCTGTCCTCGTCGTCTCCTCGTCCGACAAGCTCTACAGCTTCTCCTCCGGTGAAAGGTGCTCTTTTCCTCTTCCGTCCCCAGAGAAATCGAGGCTTTTTTCCCCGCATATTCTTTCCTATGCTGTTTGCTCCGGTCGGAGTTCCTGCTTCTGTCCGTCTCTGTCGGAGAACTCGTGTCTGCCTGTGTTTGTTGCCAAGTAATTGTGCTATGCTTTCTTCTCGATCGCCGTTTGTCACGCAATCCTGTTACGGCCAATTGATGATTTTTTTTTTCCTAGTCTGATTATTTTGTCTATTTACTTGATTGATTCCCTACTCAATATGCCGACGACGATGATTGAGACATGAACTCAGATATCAGAATTTGGTGAATAAATCTAACGCGATGCCGCTTATTGTGATTTGCTTCGTTCAAATCTTTGCAAGTGTCGTTTATTTCCCCCCCTTCCTTTTAGATTCTTCAATTAATTGTGTTTTGCATTGCATGCGCTTCAAGAAGCTTGATGCACGTGATGCCACGTGAATCCATGCTTTAAAGGATTTCTTATATTGATTCAATGGTTATCTATTGCTCACCAATGGCTTATGTGATTACTCTGGAGGAACCTAAAGGATGCTTGCTTACTTTGAATTGTGTTTGATATATACATTAATTGTGCCATTAAAGGGCATTGCTTACAATTGATCTAAGACTACAAACTCTATCTGTATGACTTCACTTTGCTGCTCAAACATCGATCAAGGATGCTTAGTAGTGCTACAGCGGTTATGTGCTTAAAGGACGATAACTATTAGTTGTTGGAACTATAGGAATTGCCATTTTCCGTGCTACTGCGGTTATGTGCTTAAAGGACGATAACTATTAGTGTTGGAACTATAAGAAATAACCCATTATAGTCTTTTTAATTTAGTGTCGGTCTATGTACGAGATTTCAACCAAATGTATTTTACTCTTCCTATGTTAATAATTACATATCATTATCTAACTTGGATAGTTCAACCGGTGAAAATGAGACGCAACACGTTTGTCCCACCTCAAGTTTGAGCCTCAAATTGGGGGTGGAACGTAATTCTAGTCACATGGTTTGCTCTCGACTTCTGGATGAGTTTGAACTTCGGTTCATGACACCCATTACCAAAAATAATAATTATATATCATTCATCTTCGGATTCAAAAATATTCTTTTAAAAATAATATGACATATATTAAATGTAGATCATCTTATAAGGTCTATAAGCGAAAATGACATCATATCATGTGTGATCTTTGGGAGGACTCTTCATCTGTTTTTCCTTGGTGTCAAGGGAGACGTATTAGGTTGTAAGACCCAATAATATAGTTGTTAATCCCAAAATAGAAAAAAAAAAACATTTACAGAACACCTTAGGGCTAGACAAAAATACTTGAAATTCGGATACTCGATTGCGTTTCGGATACTCGCCGCATGGATTCTTCGTTTTCACTCATTTCGATTTTGCGTTAGCTCTTTCGGAATTTGTAACAATTCCAAATCATTCCTAATTACACGTTCCCAAGTAAACTTAGGTCTAACCTTTCTCTTTGTCTTCATCCTCATTTGTATACTGTCTACTTTCTAACCAGCGCATCCATCGGCCTACGTTGTACATGTTTAAACATCTTAAACGTATCTCTTAACTTATCTTCTATACCTATTACACTTATATTTTCTCTCTAGTAGTCTCATTCCTAATTTTATCCATCCTTGTGTGTACACGCATCATATCCATCTCAACGTCCTCATCTCGGCCACACTCATTTTAGACATATGTTGTCGTTTTACCGCCCAACATTCGCTATCATACATCAATGCGGGTCTTATGGCAGTACGGTAGAATTTTCTTTTCAACCGTAAAGAAACCTTACGATCGCAAAAAACTCTTGTGGTTTGTCTCCATTTTATCCATCCCGATTTTATCATGAGACTAACATCTTCGTCGCAAATGAGATCGAGTTTATATTTTAGAAAAATCTGAAATTCGAGTTCAAGTCGAATAGTAAAGTTTGGGTTCGAGTATTACCCGCAAATACCCGAAAATAGTAAATTTTCAATTTTTTTCTCTAATTTTAATAAAATTACACTGAAATTTAGAAGTTACATCACATTCATTTATTCTCACTCTCCTCTATTTTTCATGGGATGACATCAATATTCTCTCTCCATTTCTCCTATCTCTTTCTCTCTCTTCATTTTTCCTCTTTTTCTATGCCACCTTATTTATTTCTCTACTCTTTTTTTTCCAGAAGTATTTTCCATTGATGTTATCATAAGCCTTCTTGTTGCATGTGGTCTTTTATACAGTTAAAATATGATAATTTTGTGATTTTTTTTATAATATGATTGATTAGCTTTTGTAAATGATTTAATGATGTTTTTTATGATTGTGACGGATAAATATATATTTTTTTATTAAAATTTAATTTTAAATTTCGGTTTGAAGTATTTGCGAGTATCTAAAATTTTTTCGAGTGCCCGATTACCGGGTGCGTGGCCAAAACAAGAACAAACTCAGCTATTATTTCATGGTGGTTTTCACGTTCATGTTCGATAATAAAAAAATCTCGGGTACCCGACCTGTACCTGAATCATAAAGATCGTGAATATGCTTTTTAACCCCTAAAAAATATCCTTAAGCAAGACACCCTAACTTCCTTACTGTGAATAGTTATATATGTTCATACTACACCTTTCAAGGACAACTAAAGGTACAAATACGAATAAAGTTCTTCGGATACATTACAAGTAACATTGGATATTGCGACGGACAAAACTCGTCTCAACAATAAAGGAAATCCATCGCAACAAAGAATTTGCGATGGATAATTATGTCGTGAACCTTTTTCCTCGTATTCTGTCGTGAAACTCTCGAACTCTGTCGGTATACGCTAGTTGTTTAGTAGTGATACTATCTAACCAAGGTCTCATGTGAGATTGTCCACATTTCATGGATGTATATATTCTTAAATTAACACAATGGAAACACAGTATAGGCATCAATATATAGGCCTAAAAAGTACAATCCAAGGTTCTCCGTGGATAATTGTTCTTCTAGAGAGGAAAAAAGATATTAGCAAAGTTCAAAGGATTGGAAAGATGGTGGAAGCACTCTTTGCTTTCATTAGAAAAATAGCTAAATTGTTCATGTCGTTCTGTAATGATATCGAGAAGGCTTTTATGTAAGTCTACGTATCACACTTAGTGTTAGCACCGTATCGGCGTAGAGCATCAACTCTTGAACTTGATGCTACCTGTAGTTTTGAATGGGTAGGAATCTCATGGTCTGATTCTTTCTCCAGTTTGACCGGGATTCTTGCTCGGTACCGAGAGCAACAAGTCGAAGAAGATGTGAAAGACTTGGTAAGTTGCCCCTATTGTCATCATTAGAAACTATTTTGTGTACCCTTCTGGATGCAACTTCCACTGTGACGCATGGAATCATATATAGGACAAGTACAATGTATATACATGAGCTGTATTGCCCTGCCTGCACGGATATCCATTGGGCATGTATAGTTGTGGTTGTTACCAGCGTGCCTTATAAGCATCTGTAGTCATAGCACGATATGCTTCCAGTGAAACACTTGCTGGATAGACACTTGTCTAAGTATGCGTGTTAGTGTCGGGAAGAAAACATGTGCCATCGAGGTGGTCATTTTTTGGTTGTACGGATTGCCCACAAGCTTACCCTAATGATCCTATATATGAGAACAAGAACAAAAAGTTTAGAACCTTGTTGTACCCAAATTCTCAAAAGGATCATTCATGATCTTTTCTGCCCACCAAGGCACAAGAACTTGCCGGTCTTGTCTGGTTCTGTAATTCCCATTTCCATGTGCAGGATCTTCGATTGGAATCTGGGAACTATCTTTCAACCAAGGAGTTGCTAGAAACCCTTGAAAGGTTTTCAGTTGCCTCTTTTCCTCCGTCCTTGTGATGTCTGGTATTGTGATGTAACCATTTGTGCGGCTGTTGTAATGAATGTGTGTAGCCGGCTGAAAGAACCAAATCTAGGGAATGTAAGCATAGATTCCGTCAATCAGATGGAGTGGCAGCTTGAGGGGGCTCTATCAGCAGCTAGAGCTAAGAAGGTAGTGTGCTGTAACTAAGTGTTGTCTGAATGTTTCTGAACATGTGGGAACTACTGATGGAGTTCCAATTTGCAGACACAACTGCTGATGGAGTCTTTGAAGGCCCTCAAAGAAAAGGTTAGAGCTTTACTTCTACAGTTAGTTTGATCTCTTTACAACACAGTCTGGTTTATTATTGGATCGATTGCTTCCCTCTGGACATGATCATGGAAAGCATCTTCTCTTAAGTAGAAGAAGATGAGCACAGCTAATTCACTGATGAGTATCAGAAAATTCGAAGGAATCTCTTACCAAATGTGTAACCTCGCAAGTTCCTGTCTTTTTTTTTTTCAAACAGGAGAACTCGCTGAGAGAAGAGAGCCAGCTTTTGGCAAGCCAGGTACTTCGACCTTATCTTATGCTTCTATAAGTCAGTTAAATAAAGCTATACGTAATAGATACACTAATACATATATATGTACACATGTAGTTTGCATGCTTGTATGTACGCATCTACATATGCATGGACGGACGCATGCATAGACACGCAATTGGCCAATAGGGAAAAGAGAGAGAGAAAGGGTGCTTAGAAATGTAATGTCTTACAGTTTGGTGGAGAGACTCTTGTGGGGGCAGAAGCGGAGAAGGAGAAGGCAACTCCGCCGGAAAACAATCTTTCCGGCGAAGATCGTCGCCGGCGACCGGAGACTCTCCTTCTTCTCACTTGAAGGAGCTCCATATCTGATCTGAAAAAATAATCTCACACAAATACTTCGTTATTGTCCTTTTCTTTTACTCTCTACGTGGGGTATACCCTCTTCCTCCTGGATTTCCGAAAGGGCATAAGCTGGTTTTTTATCATACATGAACCGCTTTTTCATCCTTTTCATTAATAATTTGTCAAATTTCGACATGGATAGATGTCGTTGTACCTCGTATTTTCTCTGTGTTCTTTTGTCTTTTTGTATTCCTTCTCTGCATATATAGGGTTTGACATGGTTTTTTTTTTGTAGTTGTTCCTTTCACAAAACATAGATTTCAACACTAGGGTTCCAGATTTTATGTTTTAATGTCTGAATCATGTTAAAAATGAAAAATTAGATAAATAAACCCTAAAAATATAACTATATATACTATTAAACAATATAGCGACAATTGTTTATAATTATTTTATATCTTGCTTCGTGTATGCATATATAACCTTAGTTCCATACATTCTACTGTCATTGTCAACCAAAAAAAAACAGTTACAAATTAAAAAATCAAAAACCTAAGATCTAAGAAAAAAATAATCATTCACCGCATGTGTAGACTACATATATATGTGTGTGTATAAAAATTTAGTCGAGGTTAGAATCATGGATCGTAATTACCGGAGTAATAATGTTTTTTAAACAAAAGGCAAGTGGATCGAAAATCATATAAGCACGAGTAAAACAAACTCCTCCAAGCGTGATGATAGCATAACTATGTCGGATTTCTGGGTAAAACCCTTGGAAAAGACGGAACAAAAATTGAAAAGAGAGGGTAAAAAATCGTACCTTTGGGTTCGGGCTTCTGTCTGTTCTTTGGGTGGGCTCACGGGTATTACCCTGAACGCGTATTTATTATATATAGAGGAGTTGCTTTCTTCACAGTGAAGTAGCTTCTTCTTACTGCTCCCATGGGATACTTAGAAACCGACACGTGGCGTGATGTTCGTTCGAGAGGTAATATAACTTGCAAGCTGGTTCATCTTCTTCACGATCTTATCAAGTCTGTTTAATTGTGTGTATATATTATTAAGAAGATGATGCATTGAAGAATTAATTGTAGGTAGAAAGTCCATTTCAAGGCCCATTAAAGCCCAATGTGAAGTTTCTTTGGGATCAGAACAAAAATGGGCTTTAGATGGAATAAACAAAATAAAATAAGAGTTGGGCCTTGATCAGACAATAAGGAGTTCATTGATACCACAACCAATGGTGTTTTACTTTTATTAAATCCTTTTGTGACAATTAAAAAAAAAGATTGCTTCTTAATACTTTGAAGCTAGTAAGAACTCCACATGTTTTTTTTTGTTATTATAATACTTAGTTTGAGTTTTTATCAATTTTTTATATAAAATTTATTAGGGACTGGTTTTTCTTTTTTAAAAATTATTTTCATTTTAAATCGAAATTTTAAGTTATTTTAATCAAATTCATCGAATTTAAAAAATTGTTCTCAAATAAATTTTATATCAAATTCGATTCAGATTAATATAACTACAACCGCTTTTTCATCCTTTTCATTAATAATTTGTCAAATTTCGACATGGATAGATGTCGTTGTACCTCGTATTTTCTCTGTGTTCTTTTGTCTTTTTGTATTCCTTCTCTGCATATATAGGGTTTGACATGGTTTTTTTTTTGTAGTTGTTCCTTTCACAAAACATAGATTTCAACACTAGGGTTCCAGATTTTATGTTTTAATGTCTGAATCATGTTAAAAATGAAAAATTAGATAAATAAACCCTAAAAATATAACTATATACTATTAAACAATATAGCAACAATTGTTTATAACTATTTTATATCTTGCTTCGTGTATGCATATATAACCTTAGTTCCATACATTCTACTGTCATTGTCAACCAAAAAAAAACAGTTACAAATTAAAAAATCAAAAACCTAAGATCTAAGAAAAAAATAATCATTCACCGCATGTGTAGACTACATATATATGTGTGTGTATAAAAATTTAGTCGAGGTTAGAATCATGGATCGTAATTACCGGAGTAATAATGTTTTTTAAACAAAAGGCAAGTGGATCGAAAATCATATAAGCACGAGTAAAACAAACTCCTCCAAGCGTGATGATAGCATAACTATGTCGGATTTCTGGGTAAAACCCTTGGAAAAGACGGAACAAAAATTGAAAAGAGAGGGTAAAAAATCGTACCTTTGGGTTCGGGCTTCTGTCTGTTCTTTGGGTGGGCTCACGGGTATTACCCTGAACGCGTATTTATTATATATAGAGGAGTTGCTTTCTTCACAGTGAAGTAGCTTCTTCTTACTGCTCCCATGGGATACTTAGAAACCGACACGTGGCGTGATGTTCGTTCGAGAGGTAATATAACTTGCAAGCTGGTTCATCTTCTTCACGATCTTATCAAGTCTGTTTAATTGTGTGTATATATTATTAAGAAGATGATGCATTGAAGAATTAATTGTAGGTAGAAAGTCCATTTCAAGGCCCATTAAAGCCCAATGTGAAGTTTCTTTGGGATCAGAACAAAAATGGGCTTTAGATGGAATAAACAAAATAAAATAAGAGTTGGGCCTTGATCAGACAATAAGGAGTTCATTGATACCACAACCAATGGTGTTTTACTTTTATTAAATCCTTTTGTGACAATTAAAAAAAAAGATTGCTTCTTAATACTTTGAAGCTAGTAAGAACTCCACATGTTTTTTTTTGTTATTATAATACTTAGTTTGAGTTTTTATCAATTTTTTATATAAAATTTATTAGGGACTGGTTTTTCTTTTTTAAAAATTATTTTCATTTTAAATCGAAATTTTAAGTTATTTTAATCAAATTCATCGAATTTAAAAAATTGTTCTCAAATAAATTTTATATCAAATTCGATTCAGATTAATATAACTACCGTCCGATTTAATTACTTTTTATTGCTTTGTATATATATATATATATATATATATATATATTATAACAGAAGAACACGGGAAAAGTGAAATGAGATGAAAAAAGGAGGTTAACAGAAGAATCCCAAAAGAGTCAAGGGTAACCATGACATAACCACCAGTCATTTGGAGCTAAGTCATTCGAGATATTGTCAAGGAGACAACGACCTCTTTCAACTCAAGATAAGTATACAAGAGTCTCGAACATCCTCACTTCATGGAAGTACTCACTCCCTCGAACCAGCCGCTTCGCTTAAGAGGTAAGAACTCTAACAAAGAACAGAGTAGCAGTTCAGTCCGAAGCTCATGTACTCTGCCTATTGTTATAATTCACTGTATCTATGTTAAAGTTTCGATTTTTATCACCACTGGATAGGGATAGTAACTGGGTTGGTCCTTTTTTTAAAACCGGAATTTCACACATACCCCTATCTTCGTCGAACCTGAGTTCGAAGCCGAAGGATCAGGAGAATCTTCGTAAAGGGGTGCTGTGTAGGAAATTTGCGGCGAACAGAGCTGTCGGAGAAGAAGATCTTGAGATGATAAAGATCATGTCGGAGAATCCGAGGTTCGGGAACTCACAGGCGGAGGAGAAGGAACACTTCAGCGGAAGCATAGTGGAGACGGTGAGTAAGGAACGAGTCACGGCGGAGCCGGTGCTCAGGAAATCGAACTCGTTCAACGAAGAAAGGTTAGCGCGTGACTGAGTTGACTCGGTACTCGCATTTGCATGGATGTTACGGAATCCGAGAGTTTCTTGGCGTAACCATTAATATAAATCATTTATATGCATATACATAAGTTTATTTGTTTTTTTAATGTTGAATTGAACAGAAATAAGAGCATAGGAACAAGCGACGAAGGCAGCGAGGAAAAGATGAATGTGAAGGGGAAATGCATGCCGAGAATAAAGAGTTCGTGCTCTATTTCGTATTCGACACAAATAAAAAATTGAATTTTATGTCATCTATTATATGGTTAGCACTTAGCAAGCAATATATGATAATACCACGTGGCATGTTTTACTTTTATCATTTATTATTGTGTTGTTAAATTCTACTTAGGTTCTGAATTGCGACGTTATTATTTGATGTTGGTGGTATTAATGAAAGTTGCAATGATTTTGTTGTTTGTTTGTTTTTTTAAAAGAAAATAATTCCGCTTTCACTACTTTTCATTTTACTAAAATGATTAAATGAAATAAAGGTGGAATAATTTTATTAAGGATCCCACAGCGTTTGAAGAGACTCTACTCCCGATGGAAATCAATGGACAAGAATAGAATAGTGGCAAAATCGTAAATAAACGATCCCACGAATCCGGCGACTTTTCCTCCCCTCAAACCGCAACTAGAATTAACCAACGATGGAAATCGCGAGGAATAATAAAAAATTATCCCAATTAAACAATTATTATAGAAATGGATAAAAGAGAGAAGACTCGCGAATTATTATTTTATAGGATTCTAGACACGTGCCGAAAAAGGGTAAACATGTGAATGGATAAAGATGAAAAAAACCGAACCGGGCAGTAAGAATAGGAAAATTGAAAGTTACGAAGGAAGGCTTCGACATGCGGACATGTTACGTGTCTCCCTTAAAGAATTTCTCCTCCCCCCCTTCTAAATAGTTACAGTTCCGGCGACTTAGTTACCGTTTTCTGTACCAAATTAAAAAAAAAAGGGTAAAAGAGAAAACAAAATTAGGGCTCGGAGAAGAGAAGAGAAGAGAAGCATTGTCTGATCGGCGAAGCCATGGGCCGGAGGAAAGTGGAGATAAAGCGAATCGAGAACAAGAGTAGCCGTCAAGTCACTTTCTCCAAGCGACGAGGCGGTCTGCTCGAGAAAGCTCGTCAGCTCTCCGTCCTCTGCGACGCCGCCGTCGCTGTCCTCGTCGTGTCCTCCTCCGACAAGCTCTACAGCTTCTCCTCCGGTGAAAGGTGCTCTTTTCCTCTTCCGTCCCGATAGAAATCGAGGCTTTTTTCCCGCATATTCTTTGCTGTGCTGTTTGCTCCGGTCGGAGTTCCCGCGTCTGTCCGTCTCTGTCGGAGAACTCGTGTCTGCCCGTGTTTGTTGCCAAGTAATTGTGCTATGCTTTCTTCTCGATGGCCATTTGTCATGCAATCCTGTTACGGCCAATTGATGGTTTTTTTTTCCTAGTCTGATTATTTTGTCTATTTACTTGATTGATTCCCTACTCAATATGCCGACGACGATGATTGAGACATGAACTCAGATATCAGAATTTGGTGAATAAATCTAACTCGATGCGGCTTATTGTGATTTGGTTCGTTCAAAATCCTTGCAAGTGTTGTTCATTTCCCCCCTTCCGTATAAACTCTTCCATTAATTGTGTTTTGCATTGCATGCGCTTCGAGAAGCTTGTTGCACGTGATGGCACGTGAATCCATGCTTTAAAAGAACCGAACAAAATGAATTCGCAGTTTATTATATTGATTCATTAGTGTTATCTAATGCTCACCAATGGCGTATGTGATTACTTTGGAGGAACATAAAGGATGCTTACTTGCTTTGAATTGTGTTTGATACATTGTGCCATTAAGTGGCATTGCTTACAATTGATCTAATGACTTAAAACTTTATCTTCTTATGACTTCACAATTTGCTGCTCAAATATTGATCAAGGATGCTTAGTTGATTCCGATGTAGTATATTCCACTTTCATTACAGATACTTACAGTGCTGCATCAATTATGTGTTTATGGGACGATAACTATTAGTAGTTATCTCCGATCCTCGGAAAAGTATAGTTGGTTTAGAGATTTTGTGAACTTTTAGATTATAAAAAAAAACTATTAGACCATGAGAAGTATATATTTGTTACATATTAAAATGAATCACCATCACTAACATTAACAAATCAACCTCCATCATATATTTTTCATATAAAGCTTTCCAATTAGAGAAATCATGTAGGAGTTCAATAAAAAAAAAATTTAATAAAAAAACACATACTTATGTTGGATATGAAAATTTAATGTTAGTTTTAAAGGCATATGATGCCTTATCTCCTTATATTGATATATACTAAAGACGAAAACTCCACAAAAAAGAGTTATCAATATATGTGTGTTAATTAGCCAAATCATTTTCAAAATTTTAGAAATTGCACTAATGTTTTTTCTTCAATTTTATAACCAACATAAATAACACTCCCTACTCCTTTTGCCCACTCCTTGTTGTGCATCCCATCAACAAATGTATAACATTTTGTTGTTGTACTAACTAAAAGTTTTTTTTCTAAGATAGTATAGTCTAAATTAAGTTGGCCCCATCCGCGAATTAGACTTTGTTTGACTCTAACAACGGGGGAGGCCGTGTTTTCACATGACTTTTTCATGGAGTCGAGGGGAAAGATATTGTGTCGACGAGAATATGTTTGTACCCACGAAAGAAAGAAAAAACCTTAGACAAATGATCCAAGCTTTTCTTACTTCCAAAGAATCGGTACATGTAGCAACAAACATAGTTCAATCTAGTAAATTTTGGCATTAGAGGTAAGGATCAAAGCAAAAATAACGAATGCATCCAACCAATTCAATTGTCATCTTAACTATGATGATTTTATTGTTTGATATGAATAATTTTTTTTATATAAAAGTTAGTTTATGAGAAAAATAACATGACAAAGAATATGAAATATGTTTTAATTTGAAAATAGAAATATAGCTAATATGAAAAATTAAAACCCATAACTGATCAATCGTCTAAGAATGGATTCTCATGGGCTGAACTCCGACCATCCATCTAATGCCAAAACAATGGATATAGACACCCAACATATTCAAAAATTTGTTCACCTTAACTTGAAAATGAAAATATAAACTAGTAGCCATAAATGGCCAACAATCCTTTCAGAATGAACCTTTCTCAACTTAAGTCATGTGGTCATCTATATGTTACGTTCTTTTTTCAAAGCTCGGGAGCCTATTAGAGTTGTTCATATGTCATTTTTCTTGGATCGAGAAAGATATATCAGATTAGGGATAGACAGAAATACTTGAATTTCGGATACTCGATTGGTTTCTAAGATGAGATCGAGTTTAGATTTGAGAAAAATTCGAAATTCGAGTTCGGGTCGGATAGTAAAGTTTGGGTTCAGATATTTTCCGCAGGTACCCGAAAATAGTAAATTTTCAATGTTATCCCTAATTTTTAATAAAATTACACTGAAATTTAGGGGTTACATCACATTCATGTATTCTCTCTCCCCTCTCTTTTTCACATATGCCATCATTCTCTCTCCATTTCTCCTATCTCCTTCCATCTCTTCATTTTTCCTCTCTTTCTATGTCACCAATTATCTATTTCTCTACTCTTTTTTCCCATAAGTATTTTCCATGGATGTCATCATATGCCCTTCTTGTTGCATGTGGTCTTTTATAAAGAGTTAAAATATGATAATTTTGTGATTTTTTCATAATATTATTGATTATCTTTTGTAAATGATTTAATGGTGATATTTTTATGATTGTGATGGATAAATATATTTTTTATTAAAATTTTGTTTTAAATATTGGGTTTGGGTATTTGTGGGTATTTGAAAAAAAAAATTCGAGTACCCGATTACCGGGTGCATGGCCAAAACAAGTACAAATTTAGATAGTATTTCATGGTGATTTTCACGTTCATGTTCGGATAATCCAAAAATCTTGGATACCCGGCCTGTACCCCTATATTGGATCATAAAGATCGTGAATATGCTTTTTAACCCCTAAAAAATTGCCTTAAGCAAGACATCTTAACTTCCTTACTGTCAATAGTTATATATGTACATACCACACTTTTCATGGACAACAACCATGGTCTCAAACTCTCAACAACTCTCATTTTGCACACAATATAGTTTTTAGATTAAATTAAAAATTAAAGGTACAAATACGAATTGAGTTCTCCGGATACATTATAAGAAACATCGGATATTGCAACGGAAAAAATCGTCTCAACAAATAAGGGAAATTCATCGCAACAAAGAAATTGCAATGGATAATTCTGTAACCTGTTTTTTTTATAACTAGCATGATTTTCCGGACCTTCGGCCCGACTATATCCATCCTAGGTTCGAGACCAACCTTTGTATATGGATTTTTTGATCCAGAAATTATATCTCTCTCCACCAGTGGAATCGAACTCAAACTATCGTAAACCTTTTTCCCTTATTTTGTCTTGAAACTCTCGAATTTCGTCGCGAGTTCTGTCGTTATACGCCGTTTGTTTTGTAGTGATAATCTACCCAAGGTCTCATGTGAGATTGTCCACATTTCATGGATGTATATATTGTTAAATTAACACAATGGAAACACATGAAAGACACCAACATATAGACCTAAAAAGTACAATACAAGGTTTCTCCATGGATAATGTGAATTGTTCTTCCAAGTGGAAAAAAGATATTAGCAAAGTTCAAAGGATTGGAAAATATGGTGGAAGCACTCTTTGCTTTCATTAGAAAAATAGCTAAATTGTTCATGTCTTTCTATAATGATATCTAGAAGGCTTTTATGTAAGTCTGCATATCACCCTTAGTGTTGGCATCGTATGACACTTTCGGCGTAGAGCATCAACTCTTGAACTTGATGCTATCTTTAGTCAGTACAAATGTTAATGCAACGATGGTAAATGAATAGAACTTGTACGGCCGCGCTACAAAATGTGAGGGTATATATGAACTGAGCTCCCTACCATCCAAGGGGTATATCTGAATTGAACTGGTGAATCCATCCGTTTTTTTCAAGGATTTGGACGATTCTTTGATTGTGGTGTATTGCTAGTTTTGAATGGGTAGGCATCTCATGGTCTGATGCTTTCTCCAGTTTGACCAGGATTCTTGCTCGGTATTGGGAGCAGCAAGCTGAAGAAGATGTGAAAGACTTGGTAAGTTGCCCCTATTGTGATCATTAGAAACTCTTTTGTGCACCCTTCTGGATGCAACTTCCACTGTGATGCATGGAGTCATATATAGGACTAGTACAATGTATATACATGATCTGTTTTCTCTGCCTGCACGGATATCCATTGCCCATGTATAGTTGTGGTTGTTACCAGCGTGCCTTATAAGCATCTGTATTCATAGCACGATATGCTTCCAGTGAAACACTTGCTGGATAGACACTTGTCTAAGTATGCATGTTAGTGTCGGGAAGAAAACATGTGCCATCGAGGTTGTCATTTTTGGTTGTACGGATTGCCCACAAGTTTACCCTAATGATCCTATGAGAACGAGAACAAAAAGTTTAGAACCTTGTTGTACCCAAATTCTCAAAAGGATCATTCATAATCTTTTCTGTCCACGAAGGCACAAGAACTTGTCGGTCTTGTCTGGTTCTGTAATTCCCATTTCCATGTGCAGGATCTTCGATTGGAATCTGGGAACTATCTTTCAACCAAGGAGTTGCTAGAAACCCTTGAAAGGTTTTCAGTTGTCTCTTTTCCTCCGTCCTTTTGATGTCTGGTATTGTGATGTAACCATATGTGCGGCTGTTGCAATGAATGTGTAGCCGGCTGAAAGAACCAAATCTAGGGAATGTAAGTATAGATTTCCTCAATCAGATGGAGTGGCAGCTTGAGGGGGCTCTATCAGCAGCTAGAGCTAGGAAGGTAATGTGCTGTAACTAAGTCTTGTCTGAATGTTTCTGAACATGTGGGAACTACTGATGGAGTTCCAATTTGCAGACACAACTGCTGCTGGAGTCTTTGAAGGCCCTCAAAGAAAAGGTTAGAGCTCTGCTTCTACAGTTAGAACACAGTCTGGTTTATTATTGGATCGATTGCTTCTCTCTGGACATGATCATGGAAGACATCTTCTCTTAATTCACTGATGAGTATCATAAAACTCGAGATTCCTTGATGGAATCTCTTACCAAATGTTGTAACCTTGCCAAGTTCCTGTCTTTTTTGTTTTCAAACAGGAGAACTCGCTGAGAGAAGAGAGCCAGCTTTTGGCAAGCCAGGTACTTCGACCTTATCTTATGCTTCTATATATAAGTCAGTTAAATAAAGCTATACGTAATAGATACACTAATACATATATACATGTAGTTTGCATGCATGTATGTATGCATCTATATATGCATGGACGGACGCATGCGTAGACACACAATTGGCCATAGGGAAGAGAGAGAGAGAGAAAGAGAAGGGTGCTTAGAAATGTAATGTCTTACAGTTTGGTGGAGAGATTCTTGTGGGGGCAGAAGCGGAGAAGGAGAAGGCAACTCCGCCGGAAAACAATATTTCCGGCGAAGATCGTCGCCGGCGACCGGAGACTCTCCTTCTCCTCACTTGAAGGAGCTCTATAATCTCACACAAATACTTCGTTATTGTCCTTTTCTTTTACTCTCTACGTGGGGTATACCCTCTTCCTCCTGGATTTCCAAAAGGGCATAAGCTGGTTTTTTACATACATGAACCGCTTTTTCATCCTTTTCATTAATAATTTATCAAATCTCGACATGGATATCGTTGTACCTCGTGTGTTCTTTCGTCTTTTTGTGTTCCTTCTCTGCATATATAGGGTTTGACATGGGGTTTTTTTTTTGTAGTTGTTCCTTTCACAAAACATAGATTTCAATCTAGGGTTCCAGATTTTATGTTTTAATGTCTGAGTCATGTTAAAAATGAAAAATTAGATAAATAAACCCTAAAAATATAACTATATACTATTAAACAATATAGCAACAATTGTTTATAACTATTTTATATCTTGCTTCGTGTATGCATATATAACATTAGTTCCATACATTCTACTGTCATTGTTAACAAAAAAATAAACAGTTACAAATTAAAAAATCAAAAACCTAAGATCTAAGAAAAAAATAATCATTCACCGCATGTGTAGACTAGATATATATATGTGTGTGTGTATAAAAATTTAGTCGAGGTTGGAATCATGGATCGTAATTACCGGAGTAATAATTTAAAAGAAAGGCAAGTGGATTGAAAATCATGTAGATGGAAATGGAAATATAAGCACGAGTAAAACAAACTCCAAACTCCTCCAAGCGTGATGATAGCATAACTATGTCGGATTTCTGGGTAAAAACCTTAAAAAAGACGGAACAAAAATTGAAAAGAGAGGGTAAAAATCGTACCTTTGGGTTCGGACTTGTCTCTGTTCTCGGCGTGGGCTCATGGGTATTGCCCTGAACGCGTATTTTATTATATATAGAGGAGATGCTTTCTTCACAGTGAAGTAGCTTCTTCTTACTGCTCCCGTTGGTCACTTAGAAACCTACACGTGGCGTGATGTTCGTTCGAGAAGTAATATAACTTGCAAGCTGGTTCATCATCTTCATGATCTTATCAAGTTTAATTGTGCGTATATATTATTAAGAGGATGATGTATTGAAGAATTAATTGTAGGTAGAAAGTCCGTTTCAAGGCCCATTAAAGCCCAATATTAGGAATCAGAACAACAATGGGCCTTTAATAAATGGGCTTTAGATGGAATAAACAAAAAAAAAATAAGAGTTAGGCCTTGATCAGACAATAAGGAGTTCATTGATACTACAACCAATGGCGTTTAGTGAGACTGGAGCACAGCATATCTCCGCTGTTCTAAAACCCCCCGAAGTAAGAAAAATTCTTTTTTTTTTTTGGTAAGGGATAAGAAAAAAAAAACTAACTAATTCTTTTGCTAATTAATTGTTTTATATAGAAAAGGAGTTATTATTTTGGCCCCGAATAAATCAAACCCATAAAATTCAAATTCCCTCTCCCCACGATCATCATCATTTTTCGAAATTTTAAACAAGAGTTTGATGAATGAGTCCCAGAAACGAAAGCGACTCAGAGAACAGCGTCAGGAGCGAGAACAGGAGGAAGAAGGTTAGTTCTCCTCTTCCCTAATTATTTAATTAATTATTTATTGGTGGGAAAATGAGGCGACGTGAAACCCATTCATCTGTTTTTTAATGCCTTGGGAAATCTGTAGTCTATTCTTCCGAAGATTTTTGGATCGAGACGATGTGGTAAAGAGGAAGATGCGTCTGATATGGACAGCAGAGGATGCGATGGCGATGATGGCGTTTTCCACGGTACTGCTCTCTAATCTTACTTGCATCCCAAGAAACAAACCCTAACCTAATCCCAATGGCTCTGGGATCATGTTTTAGCAGATTTGGAAAGACGAATCGCTTCCCGGAAGAAACCCTTTCTCGGCGATTCCCCAATGTCGTGGAAGACTCTCTCAGGTTCTACAGATTCCGTTCCGTTTTTGTTAGTGGGTCCGTTCTGGATTGGATTTTGGTGCGCTGTTGGGAAAATTTATTGCTGGTAGCTTACCTACCAAGAAATTTGACATGGTTTTACAGACATGATTGTGAAAGATCGTACAATGTCAAAGTGTAGGGGGTGACCTGTTTGTCAAAGCGAGGGTTCTTCATCTTAGATCTTGGACGCCATGAATGAAAATGGCAAGAACTCTGCTCAATGGAAACTGATTTTTGTGGGTTTTTTGCTTATCAGAGAGACAGGCTAGTCCCGGGATCGAGGGCTTGAATCTGTCGAGTTTCGAAAGGCGTATGACGCAGGCAACAGAGGTCCGAGAACTCAGGTGAAGGAAGATCTCTGTCTTGTCCTGTGATTTCTCTGTTCTTAAGACAGAACCTAGGCGATCTTCTGTTCTGTAACTCTTTTTTTTTTTTTTTTGTGCTTTCAGGGTGCTCGTGGCAACATGGAACGTAGGAGGACGAACACCGAACACCGATCTAAACCTGGAAGAGTTCTTGCTTTTGGAAGGAACAGCAGATTTGTATATCTGTGGGTATGATACACATGAATTTGGCACGTTCTCGTCTGTAATAATCTGGTTTCTACCGTTAGAATCCTGAAGGATTTTCACTCGATCTGGTGTAATCAGGTTTCAGGAAATCGTCCCACTAAGCGCAGGAAACGTGTTAGTGGTTGAAGACAACGAGCCAGCAGCGAAATGGATAGCCCTGATAAGTCAAGCTCTGAACAAACCGAGCCAAGACACCATCTACTCAAACGCTTCCTTCTCTGGATCAAGAATCACGAACAAGATCCATAACAGCAGCATGGAAGAGTTGAAATCACAGAGCAGTCTTGGTTTCTTTCCGAGACCAAGTCTCAAGGTCCTCAGTAGGAATTTCCGGGTTGATTCCAGCCTCTTAAAGACGTGTAATTGCCCGGTCTTGGAAAATTCTCCGGGCTGGGAAGGAAGGCGGACGAGAAAGCTTAGTGATCCTACGGATAATCTGGAGCCGGTGAATTTCAGAGTGCACGAAAACTTTCTCTTCGATGATGTGCCTGCTTCTACAAGGATGCCGGGGAAGATGGATTACAGATTGATTGCGAGCAAGCAAATGGTCGGCCTGTTTCTTTCTGTTTGGGCAAGAAAAGAGTTGATTCCTCACATAGCTCATCTCAGGCTCGATTCCGTGGGAAGAGGGATCATGGGTCGCTTGGGGAACAAGGTACCTCCTCCAAACGAAATTCCGACAAAAAAGAATTGTCTGAAATTCCAGGTTTTTTGTCTGATGGGTGTTGAGATTTTGTTCTGTTGCAGGGATGCATCGCCATAAGCATGTCATTGCACCAGACAAGCTTTTGTTTTGTCTGTAGTCACTTAGCTTCTGGTGAGAAAGAGGGTGACGAGTTTAGGAGAAACGCAGACGTTGCAGAGATTCTGAAGCATACCCAGTTCCCAAAAATCTCCAAGAACCCTAATTGCCATGCCGCCGAGAAAATTGTGGAGCACGAGTACGTTTCTAACTTTCCTCGTTTGATTCTTTATTACCCTTGTTCTGATCCGTTGTTTTGAACAAACTCGTATTGTCGAATGCAGCCGAGTGATTTGGCTAGGAGATCTGAATTACCGGGTGGCTCTAAGCTACGAGGAGACGAGGGTACTATTAGAGGATAATGACTGGAGCACTCTTCTTGAGAAAGATCAGGTTTTGGTTCTAATAAATCTGACACAAACCACAGGAGATAAACTTGTGTTTTGTCTGTACATTTTTCTGTCGGATTCAAACCTTTCCTCTAATTCTCCGGTCGGTGTTTCAGCTGAACATAGAGAGGGAAGCTGGAAGAGTATTCTCCGGGTTTCGAGAAGGCCAAATCCTCTTCGCCCCGACGTACAAATACTCGCATGACTCAGATTCATACGCTGGAGAGACCACCAAGTCGAAGAAAAAACGACGTACACCTGCCTGGTACATATATATATATTCCTTTCCTCCAATACGTACGATTCTCGATAAAGATCAGCAATTCACTGAATGTATATGAGCTGGATTCAAAACGTGTGGGGGGCATATATTATATATATATTGCAGGTGTGATAGGATACTATGGCGAGGAAATGGCATAGAACAGCTCTCTTACATAAGGGGAGAATCGAGATTTTCAGACCACAGACCAGTTTGTGCTGTCTTTGCCGTGGAAGTGAAAGTGAAGAGCCCAAACAGGAGTAGATTCAGGAAAGGCTTGTCGTGTGCCGCCGCAAGATTGGCTTTTGAGGATTGCATTCCCCAAAGGCATAGCTTTTATGACTGAGCAAGTCTCATTCTTTATTTAATATCATCACCATAAACAGAGAGAACAGGAGATTTTACCGGAATTGTATAGTTAGTAGCATATAGCTTCCACATTCAACGATGGTTTACTCTGGGTTTTGCTCTGTTTCCTTCAATGTGGATATGTACATGTAACTGTAGCATCAGAGTGCAGTATTGGTTTCAGTAAGGATTTTCTTGTAATAACTCGGAAGAGATGTCTGTTCTGTTTTCTGAAATCTGAAGCTGACATGACTGAACCCTATCTATTCCAAAACCCTATAGTTATATATATATATGTCGTTTTATTCACAACCCATGTCCCAGACCGAGAAAGCTTCTTCATTCGCGTGCTTACCATTACCATCTTCTTGAAAATGACTCTCATCCGACCCCACGTTGTCCCCTTTCTCGAACGCTCCATCCATGGCAGGATCGTCTTCAAACCCTTCCTGGTGATCCAGACCATGCATGAGCCATCGTCCAATGTTGTTATCGTGACTGGAACTTCCGCTGTTGTCATCATCGCTGGTATGATTAGTCCTTGGAGTCTCCGTGTCTAGCCACTGGTTCATGAGGAGCGGCAGCTCTTCCGTGAAGCTATAATCTTCGTCTCCGGCCACCGGAGTAAGAGATGGAACCAGCATCAGCCTGTCTGAAATCCGGTCGAGATCTCCGATGTTTCTGTCGGGTTCTTGGGCAAAATCCTTGTAAAGACACTGAAGTTGGTGACCCGTCCTCGTGTTCTTGTCTACAAAACCCAAACCCACTTCACTCCGAGGACAATCCGAGTTCTGGCAAGCGTATAAAACCTTGCCCGACGTCGAATCCTCTTTCCCGCCGAAGAAAACACCCTTTCTCTTATTCGTTTCTTGAACCACTTCCTTTCCTTTCCCCGTCCTCGAACCAAGACTCGACGGCTTTTGCCCCTGTTCTTCGTCTGAGATCTTGAGGCATTTCTCTGTGAGCTGAAGGAGAGCTTCCTCTTGGTTGAGAACTCGGGACAAGGTGTCGGTCTCTTTCGCCACCATCTTGTCCTGCAAGCACTTTGACTGTCGGACGAGACGTCTAACTCGCTCCAGATGCGGAGACATGTGTTTGATAACAGCGGCCAAAACGCTAACCTTCCATGCCTTCCTGAGATCGTGGGGCTTCCGGTAAGGCGGGGCACCATGCTCGTGAGACGAGCCTTGCTCTCCCCACCACACCTCGCTCCCCGTCGGCCACCACGGCGGAGCTATCCACGGAAACCCGCCGTTGCGGCGGCACGCAGTGTTGCATCAGAGCCGAGAGCAAAGACCCAAGTGTCGTGTCCTGTAGCTCGTGGAGCATGTGCATGTACGACTTCGGCTCATGATCGCCGGGCGCCATTACGATTTGCTCCGCCGCCGCCACAGCCAAGTAGTCGGTGATTCACAAAATCTCGTGATAGATTGTTTCCATCAATTTTTGTAACCATATGGAAGAGCCAGTCACCGCTTTCCCCTTCTCCGGCACGATCCCGTACACGAACCCTTGAGCTTTACACACTTCCATGATCTTCATCATGTACTTCAACACCGAATCTTGCGCCCGAGCCATCTTCTTCCGTTGGGAAGCTTCCGCTCGCCGCTCGGCGGGAGGCTTCGGAGGCGGCGGCGGCGGCGGCAGAGGAGGAGGAAGCTCCGGAGACGGCGTCGTTTCGTGCCTGCTGCTTGAACTTGCGCATGAGCACTCTGTCCTTCCACATGCGTTTCTTGAGATCGCCATAGCTGATTTCTTCGCTTTGTTCTTCGTCGTCTTCGTTATATTCTTCGTCTTGAATTGGGCTGAGTGGGTCCAGCTCTTCCAACTCCACCATTTTATCAACGCGACTGAGCCCTGATATCGAGTTCGGTACTTGGACTTTTGGTAGTACGTATAGACCAGGTACATGCTGATAAGTCTTATTTATATTTGGAGCCTGTATATACACATATATATATATATATATGTTATATTTATATGATATCAGTGCAATGGATAAAGTATTTACGCACGTAACACGAGCACGGGGGGACGTGTGCAGGTGCGAAAAAGACGTGTCGGGATCTCCTCGTACAAAGTCTGTGTTGTAGTAAATGACGCTATAGGGTTTAATGTTTTCGATGTGCTAACAAATAACCAAAAAAAACAAATAATCTTCGGGAATCACAGAATTGCGTAACAAGCTGACATTTGATGTGTGTCATCTAGTCCATTAAAAAAATACTAATTGCATTAATTTCATCGCTCATCAGTTTAAAGATTCGTGAACGATTCGAACATCATCGCCTCGATCTTCGGTTCCTCCTTGCATTTTCCAACGTGCTGTACATTGCACTTGAGAGGTTGTACATATTATTATTATACAATGTATGGGCCAAATATTACGTGCAAGCCTTCGGCCCCTCTCTCTCTCTCCCCCACTAAATGCCATAAGTAACCTTTCTTATAGGCGAAGGTCCTTCACTCGGCGTCTCGGCCTAAAGTCAGGTTTTATTTATCCAATAGCCAATTTCGCCGGTATTACACAAAAATGAATTTGATATAGAAATTGAATGAATATTATTTTTATAAAATTGAAAAATAATAATCTAATCAAAATACAAAAAAAAAATAAAAAAAAAAACATTTTTTTAGAAACTGAATAAAAATTAAATTGGAAGATAACCCGAATTAAACCAAAACTCATTATAAAAACAAAAACTGAACGTGATAATTTTTTTAAAAAACGGAGAAATTCAAACCCGATTTTATTAGAAATGTAGAAGGGCCATTTCTTGGACCGGTGAACGAATAAATGCAGTTTCACAAAAACAAAAACAAAAACAAATATAAAATAAAATAAAAAAGAGAAAGAAAGAGGGGTTTCGGTGCATATATTATGTTATTTATTTAAATGCGAACTGCAAGAGAGAGAACGGCGTTATATCAGAAGCCGACGTGCTGAGTGTACTGAGAATAGGCGTGGGATTGCATGGCGATGGGGGCTCTGGTCACGTGGTCCGGAAGGTCGAAGGCGTCCACCAGTTCCTTCGCTACGCTCCGAACTTGGTAACTCAGATACTCCGTCTGCTTGTGAATCGCCTAACCAAGCATTCATCCACCCATTTACACATATATTAGTTCTCACTTGCTAAATCCTCTACCCAAGACTCCAAATCACGGGTTCATGTTAGAAATACGAACCTTGGCTTTGTTCGGTGCCACGTAATCCACGTTACGGTATGTCCCTATGTCCTTCCAGATACGGTCCAGTGCGTATAGATCGCAACAAAGTTTCAAAGCTGCTCTCGCCTTCTGGTCGGGGCAGCTGAAAACAGAGCCGGAAACACAACTCAAGGGTTGTTTTTTTTTTTTGGTAAGAAAACCCAGAAGAATTCTGCAGGAAATGGATAAGACTCCTTACTTTTGAACAGCATCGATGAATTTTGCGAGGATGACAGATTCGATATGAGATTCTGCAAGGGTAAGGAGATGGTTAAGGCATCTGTTCCATGCACCGAATCCACCTAATGCCTTTGTGTGCTTCCTCAGTCTCACAGCTACGCTTTGTAACAGTCTCGATGTTCGGTACTGAGACAAATGCAAACATGATTCAGATTTAAGTAGTAAGGTACTCTAAATCAATTAGTATGAACTCACTCACCCTGAAAGCATCCAGTTGGAATTTAGGATCTCTTAAATGGTCTTCGCCTTCCCAACGTGCGGTCACGGGGTTTGGCTGAGACAAGTACGTGTTCATCGATTCTCTCAAGTAGTTCCATGTAACTGTCAGCGTCCCCCCTTGGAACTTCTCCTTGTATCTCTTCAGTAGATCGGCTGCCACCTAGAAATGTGCAAAACCCCCTCTCAAGATACTTGAATTCCCATCTATATGTACATGTATTTGTATAAAAACGCAGCCAGCTGAATTTACCTGCTGCAGAAGCACGGTGTTGTCTCCTTCAAACGTCTGGAAAATGTCGTGATCGTTTCTCAACCCACCAAATCGGTTCACAGCTGCATACCCATGTCCTCCGCATGCCTCTCTGCATACAGACAGCGACTTCGCCGTGTAAGACGTCACATATGATTTCAGTCCAGCCGAGAGAGCATGGACATCAGCAACTAGTTGCTCGTCGTGTGTCTTCTTCATTTCTGAATATTTCTCCACGAGGTACAAAGTGGCGAAATGGTATGCATAGGTCGAGGCCAGCATTGGCATGAGCTTGTGTTGTTGAGATTGATAATCAAGAATGCTGACCTCTGGTTCCCTCGGGGGACCGAATTGCTGCCTAAGCAGCGAATATCGGATGGCGATAGTGGCAGCAATCTTAAGGACACCAACAGATGCATAAGCCAAGCCAACACGGCCACCTACAAGTTCACCTAATGTAGCCCCGAACCTTTTGTTGATAGTTGGAAGGCTACTTGTATATCTCCCATCTCTGGACACATCTCCAAATCGGTTGAGAAGATTATCCCGGGGTACCCTCACAGAACAGAATCTCAATGCGCCATTATCCACTCCATTCAGGCCGATTTTATGGCCGCAATCATGAATTTCAACGCCTGGGAGAGTTTGGTGGGTCCTCATATCTCTTATCGGTACAATGAAGGCATGAACACCCATATCGGATGTTCCTTTGGAATCATGAGTTGGTAGGATGAGCTTGGCAAAAACAGTGGCAAACTTTCCATGAACTGCAGCATTGCCAATCCACCATTTGATGGCTCCATCATTGGGAGTATCGATTATGAATTCGTCTTTAATGGGATCAAATGTTGCCGTGGTTTGCAGGCCTTGAACATTCGAACCTTTTGAGAACAAAGAGTGTCAGTTTAGAACGGCATTTTGAATGAGCTAGGTGATGTATGGTATTGGTGACATTATATAGCCATAGAACGAAGAAAACCACAGCTGAATTCAACACGACAAGCAAGGGAAGAAGCCTGAGGTATAGCATAGTTACCATGGTGGAGTTCAGTCATGGCAAAGCAACCAGGGTAGTCGAGGTTGTCAATACCATCAAAGTACTTGTCTTTGTGCTTCTTTGTTCCCAAGTTGATCACAGATCCCCCCCATAGACTGCACATGTAATAACAAAAGCCAATGCAAAAGTAAAGCCCCAATCCAAACTTGCAGAACTATACCTAGTAGCTCTTTTATCAACATCAACATCAACATCGGCTTAATCTCAAGTTTATTTGGGGTTGCTCTTTTATGTAACAAAAAAAAACACAACAAAAAGAAGGAATTTTGCAAAAGAAAACCTCCCACAAGTACAAGCATTGTCCATGTCAGGTACTCTTCTACTGCAACAAGAAATTGGAATGAATGGAAATTTTTCTTTGCTACACGTTTTCACGAATCAAGTCCATTGACAGAGCCTTACAAGATGCAGGGTATGTGGCGAATGCCCCAGAGTAATAGTGGGAGAGATCAGACATAACATAGGCAGAGGAATCGAACAGACCGGATTCAGACAAAAGCCAGGAAATCATCAAACAATCCACACGCAAGATTGAATCCCATCCAACCCAAGATCAAACATTCTTCAAGAAAGACATTCTTCCATTCACAATAGAAAAATCAGACGTCGTGCAACAAAGGGTTACAAGGCAGAGATACTCACCTGAACTGTACGCCCATCTTGATCCCAAGCGACATGTCCACACTTCCAACAGCCTCCATGATAGCGAAATACTTAGACGGATCATCGGCCACGTACCTAAACGGCCGAATTCCAGCGTCTCGCACAAGCCCTAAAAGCTGCTTCATACAGAGTTCGCGATGTTCGTCTTTCGAGATCTCGATCGGCGTCTGCAAATCCGGTCGCGAATTGAAGAATTCGAACACTTTCTCCTGTATATCTCTGTGTTTCCCCCTCATGTACAGCGACAACGCCTCGCCGTTGACCTCGAGCTTCCTCGTCCTCGCCGAGCATTCCGCCATCTCCAGCGGCCGTAGCGGACGCGACACGGTGGGGGAGAGGTGCAAATACAGCATTTGGATTCGCCGCTCCGCGATCGGCACCGGCGATTCATCCTCCGCCGTCGGATTCCACCGCTGAAAATCCATAACCTGCAAAAGAAAATTCTGACGGTGAAGGCTGAGAATTTCGTCTTCTCCTCCGACAGTTGAAAATCGGTCATATAAAAAAATAGCTTGGCTATGGGAAAATAGGAATGGAAAAGCGCAAGCTTACACGGCAAGCAGCTGACGTGGAAATGACGTCATGTCGACATGGCGTCCCAAGATTGGATAAGGATTTGGCAGTTACCTTTGGCGCGCCTTTCCATGTTCGGATCATTATCTAACAATATTTATTTCTGTCTTTTCCGTAACTCGTATAATTTATTCATTGTCAACATCTCGAAGGTAATAATATAAGCAAAACATCCCGATCCGAGTTTTGGCGAAATATCATATGAAAAAAATAAATTTTAAAATGGGATTTTTTTTTTCTGTAAACGTGAAACTTTAGTTTATAAGCGGATTTTATTAAGTAGCATAATTTACAAATAAATAATATTTTCATTTAAATTAAAATATGGTTTTAACGGAGATTAGAAATATATAGGCCCAATAGAGGACATTATTGGGTCATTTAAAACTAGGCCCGGTAGATTCTTTCTTTTATATTACCTGGGCCTTTAGTGGGCTTAATCTGTTTTTATTTCGGCCCAAGTGCATGACATCCCCAAAGCCCATGTACTTCGCATTTCAACTCTAAAAATGATTTCTAACGTTAATTCCAATGAGAAAATACACACATTGAAAATTCTTTGTAACGAAATTTGTATTTATTATTTGTGCCAAATTAAGTTTTGGAATTTATATAGTATTTTAGAGTATTCACGCATTCCTATAATCTATTTATTAATATCTCCATTCAAATCTGTATAAAATATCTGTTAATATTCATATAATCTTCCTTTCCAAGATTCAAAATCTCTTCTTTTATGTATAGTTATTTTATTTTATTCCTTTTTTCTCGTCAGGAAGAAAGATAGATTATTTGATATTCGTAAAGATATTATAAAATAAGTTATATAGATATTAATAGAAGTAGATTATAGTAAACTATATGATACCAATAAAGATATCATAAACGGAGATTATACGGATATTAATAGAAAACAAATACAGTGATACAATAGTATTCTAACATGATTATTTCCTTCTCTGTAAATATTGTGTTCACATAAGAGATGAACCTTCCTAAGCGAATCGAGCAACTTACAATAAAAATCTCTATTACAAAATAATATAAAGTATACGAGTCTACCAATTGATAGATTATCCACAAAAAAAAAAAAAGCCTAATCATGATTATTTATTAGTTTGGGATTGGGAAGAGACGAAGAGTCGTCTAAGTGAATAAGTGTTGAGTTGACATTGAAGGTCAACCACTTACAATAACTTTTGTTTTTCACGGGTTGTAAAATAGTCAACGCGTTGACTTTCATCCAGCTTTATATTATCTTTTACATTTGTTGGGTGTTTTTTCTCTCTCCCTATATAATGGGAAGATATTATTCCTATAATATTGTCATTAATATAGTTATGATCTACCTTGATATTATATCTAGAATATTCTATTGCATTTTGCTATATAATAGAGTGTAATCTTTCCATTATATAGGGAAAAACATTTTACTTATTAGTTTAATTAAGCATGATAAATCATTGATGCAAATATTTTGTATAATGCGAAAGTTCGGCGGTCAACTACATTTTTTTAGAGAATCACGGAAATCGGGAGGATGCAAATGTTTCGGTTACTATTCATAAAAATTCTATCAATTGGACAAACATATGGTTAGCGTGTTAATAATTTTGTAAATTTGCGCTGAAAATTGCTAATTATCTTGTAAATTGCTCATAACCGCAATAATAATTTTCAAGATATCTTGACTACATGCAGAAAAAAAAGGCATCGTGGGAAAAACGAAGAGAAGATTCACGAGAAACGACCTAAGTCACATAGTTTGCCTGAAGAACCAAAACTGGGAAAGAGATTTGTAGACTGAAATCTCCAAAAGAAAGTACATTATATCATAAATATTAATATTATTCTGTATATATATATATATGTGTGTGTGTAAATTATTTATTTATTTCTAATACTATACGTTATCTTGATTATAATTAAACAAGTAACATAATAGGAGTCAGACTGCCCAAATTATCTTTTTATTTTCCTAGAATTTCTTCAACACAAAAAAAAATAATGGAAAAAGCACCATCGGCGAATATGAGAAAATGCGTCGCGTAGAAATCAAGTCAACGCCACGTAGAACACAACGTGTGAACACGTCAAAATGGGACCCACAGTATTCCGTCTAGTGGGACCCATTTCCATTTGGCAAAAGATAATTGGTTTAGTTTTCTCTTTTTTTTACCTGTTCCACATCCATTGACAAGTTCACACACAAACATACAAATACGATGATGACCGAGTAAAAAAATTTGGTTATAAAATTCAAATTCTGAAATATAAGAGTTCTTACCCTTACACAATAAAGTTCTCGTAGTTTTTTCTTTAGTTTGATAATCATGAAACTGAGCATGTATATGCGATATTATACAATCAATATATATACACATACACCCAACCTGGGTAGTTCAACCGGTGAAACGGGGCGCAAAGCGTCTGTCCCGCCCCGAGTTCGAACCCCAGGCTGGGGAGGGAGCGCATAATTCAAATCACATGGCTGGCTCCCGGTTCCGGGATTAGTCTGGGCCTCGGCCCAGGAAACCCGGTTACCAAAAAAAAAAATATATATATACACATACACACATGCATATTACGTCCAATTCAAAACTCAAATACTGGAACTTTTTGTCATCAAATATACGGTATTAAAATATTGATAACAATAAAAATATTTTACCAAACAAATGACGTCATCCACGTCATGACTTCGCTATACAAACTCTCGTGGCTGAGAGCAGTGCACCCATATATAAAGGCAAAGCTACGACGAACAATCAAACCCATGTTTGGTAAATACTTACAAAAAAAAAGTTCTCTATTATAATTTATAAGAATTACAAAAAAGGGGGGAAATTTATATAATTACTCTTATCTGTATAGATAGATGGTAACAGCTCTAAGCCCCAATAGTTGGAATGGAAGCTCTTGAACCTTTCATGAATACTTCTTCTTCTTCTTCAAAACCAGTTTTCACCCCTTTTTATACTATCCAGACTGTACCGGCGTCAAACCATCACGGTCTTAACCAAACCGGTCCGATCGGCTTAAACCAACTCACCCCGGCTCAAATCTTGCAAATCCAAACCGAATTCTACCTCCGGCAGAACCGAAACCTAGCTCGCCGTAAAGGCCATAACCTCCGTCCTCTCACAGCAAATCCATTCCCAATGAAGAACCCAGCTGCAAGTGTAAGCAAACCGACGAAGCTCTACCGAGGCGTAAGACAGAGGCATTGGGGAAAATGGGTCGCCGAGATCCGGTTACCAAGAAACCGGACTCGGTTATGGCTGGGTACATTCGATACCGCCGAAGAAGCCGCCTTGGCCTACGACCAGGCCGCGTTCAAGCTCCGGGGAGAATACGCGCGTGTGAACTTTCCCTCCCACACGCGTCACGGCGACTACAAGCCGTTGCCTCCGTCGGTTAACAAGAAATTTCAGGCCATATGCGACGGCTTAGCTCCGCCGGAGCTTAAGATTCCGGCGAAAGCCGAGGAGGGTTTACCAGGATTTTATGAAACAGGGAGTGTTGTCTCCAAACAGATGAAAACCGGACCATGTCCGAATAACCGGTTCGTACCAGAATCCGACAAAAAGTTGTCGGACTTGTCGAACGAATCGCCATGGGAGGAGAGCACGAGCTTCGGTCTGCAGAAGTATCCGTCTCTGGAGATTGATTGGGACGCTCTCGCGAAACTGTCTGAACCAAAGTGATGTCGTTTCAGTCTCCTTGTTCATGTTGAAGTAACTTTCGGTTAATAAAGATCTCATCAATCGGTTTTTAATGTAAATTACAACTGTCAATGTGCATTGTGTATTTCAAACTTGGAATCGCACGTGCTGAAATAAATTATAAACAATGTTCAACGATATAAATTTGTCATCAGTTGAATAAAGGCCATTTGTTTAACGGACGATAGAGAAATAAAGGCCGGACCAATTTTATTTTATTTTTTTGTCGTTTCAATTAACCAAATTTTGGCCCCTCAGGTGTCGGGAGGGTCATATAATTCCAATGACACGCATGAAGTCACATTGATTGACAAACTTTGTAACTAAACCATATTGGGAAAATCCCACGTTTTACATGTTTTTTGTAACTCGTCCAAGAGATAATGACAAACCCAAGATTGGCTTTTACGTAAAGAATTTTAAAAATCTGCCCCGAATATTAGATTCTGAAAAATGATCTAGCGATTACCAGTATGGATCACATTATTTTTTGGAGAAATTTAGAAAATATTTTTTTTTAAGAAAATAGAGAAAAATCTAAAACTTTTTTTTCTCATCTTTATGTGCTTAATTAAATTAAAATCTTTTTTTTTTTTATCTTTGGGGATAAGAAATCCACAAAAGAATCAAATCTCTCCCATATTCTAACATATCAACCCTTGTATTCACACGCTTAATATTTTTATTTTCAAATATTTTCGAATTAATATTTTTTCCACTTTGTTTACATACACACACACACACACATATATAACGATTATATGTTATTCTAGTTCAATATTTTATTAAAAATATTTTTAATTCAATTTTAAATCTATTAATTCGTATTCAGATAAAACGATTTCTAAAAAAATCTAGGCAATTTTTAGAATAGATTTGGTTGGCTCATATATATAATTATATATTATTTGAAAATTAAAATAATGCAAAGTCGTGAAACATAATGCAATATTTCCATACCAAAATGCATGAGAGTTTAAAAGCAAATAAAAAAAAAGAATATTAAAGCATGTCAGCCAAAGCACATCTTATCAAAGCTTTGCACCCTCTTGTGACGCGTCCTCTACACACCAATTCTAAGGCAAGAATCAATTCTATCATCTGTAATTATATGCAATCGTGTAAAGTATTATTATTAATCACAGCTAACTTATGAAATTTAAAAAATATTTTCATATATGATTAAGTTGTTTAATTATATACCTTGAATTTTTAATAGGTATTTTAAAATTAAAAGCACACCTTTTACATATCGAACGGCATAATTTTGGTTCTTTTGAAGTGAGGAATATTCGGAACTTGATATATTTGAATGTTTTGTGCGTTTACGAAAAGCCCAATTATTTTGGGCTTCTCACAAAATCTCGTGATAGATTGTTTCCATCAATTTTTGTAACCATATATATATATGGAGCGAAATCAAGATCTTAATTAGAGAATCTGAAAATCTTATATAAGACCCGAAACACTTATAATAGAATTATATATATTTACTCAATGGCATTTGTAATAACACCAAACATCCATCCACGACAGTCCTTTTTTTATATATATATCCACGAAAGTCTTATATGCCAGAGTAGCATTATACGTATGTACATGTATACAAGTATACATACATATATTATATATGTGTATACATTTAAAGATAACCAGGTTGAGAAGAAACTAAAAGGTGTTGGTTTCAGAGATCATTGCCTTTTGTATTAAAATTTTAAAAATATATGGATTAATTAGTAATTATTTGTAAGATTTTCTATATCTGTTTGTTCGTAGGCTTTACGTACTTACTGATCTTCTTTTTGCTCCGTATATTATTTATTCTGGCGAATACATTTTTTTAATATCCCGAGAACACGTGAAAGAAACCTCTTGCCGATACAGCAAAAATACGCATTCCAATGCTATTTTTTTGTGTTAAAATCCAATGCATAATTTTGTCTGATCTCGAACGACTTGACTTGTATAAGGAACAAAAACTTTCCCATATATATATATATATATATCTCAACATTTTGCTGCATTTTCCTGTATATTATATAACAATTCTAACGGTATATATATGGTTCGATCTTATACAAGCGACGTGACATTTATGCGCAAATGCGTATATCCATACGAAAACAGTGGCATAATACGCATGTACACGAATTTTAGGAAGATCCACGCAATGCATGACCTTAATGAGGCTCGACCCTCAAAGCGGGACCAAGTTCCCATGCAAACACCCACGTGTAAGAAAGCTACGGGAGCTCCAGTTTATATTTTCAAATATCAAAAAATATAAATAAATAATAAATATTTGTTTTTTTATATGAAAAAAGGAAGAACAGGAAAGCCTGCCCGTGATCTCGCATGGCCGAAAACCCAATAATAAATAAAGCGGACAAATATGATAACTGTTATAGTTTGCATGCATGCATGCATGCATGATTGCTTTGACATCCTGCTAAATCAATGGGCATAGGCATGAGTTCCACCGCATGGTTCATTTGGATATATATATATATATATATATATGTATGTATATATCGTACGGTCAATCAGACTTCGGTCGGGAAATTCTCATGCAGAGGGTTGGAATATGATTATAATCTCATTGGAAACTATTTTTAACTAAGATTAGTAAGTGAATGACACAAGTTAATTAAGTTTCTGAACAATTGAAGTCCGTAGTCTAACAACCCCGACTCTGATTCATATTCACATTTTTTTTAATCAAAACTATAAGATATTAAAATTTTTTGTAACTATTTATGTGGCTACTCCACCAATAATTGCGAAAAGATATAAATGATTAAATTATTGGGGTATATAATCGGGGGGGAGCCAATGATGGGGATTGTTGAGTATAGTGGAATCCATCTTTCCACGTTCAAAAGAGGAACTGATCGAGTTTGGTTTGTCAACATTCGTAAGAGTTTGGCTTCATCTCACTGTCTCTGCTCCCCCCAAAACCCCATGCTCTCTCTCTCTCTCTCTCTATGTTTTAACACATCGGCACGACCCTCTTTTGAGTGGAATCCAACTCCTCATTGTAGCTTTATAACTTAGATTCTTACATCGATGGGCTTTTCTTTTTCCAAAATTCTAATCTTTAATTCCCCAAGAAAGTAAAATTGTCACTCATAGTTTTATCGCTTTCAATCGTATTGATGGGTATATAAACTGATTTAAAATAAGATAGTTGTGGATAAAGTTTAAAAGCAACCCAATATGGTTTGGACTTCTTTGGTAACACATACATATAGATACACACACACACACACACATATATATATATATATATATACTGAAACAAATGAAAAAAATAGTACTTCGTGTAGCTATAATTAGCTACATTTCATATTTGGCTATTTACGCCGGACTAAAATATCTTGACCATTGTTTGACTATATATATTCTTGCATCAGTTATTATAGAAACTTGGAATACTTTCTCGGTCTATGCATTTAATTTCTCGTAGATTTTTATGTCATTTTAATGCCACCAACTATTTTAGCGGTCGAAGTAATTAGCATTAAACTGAGCTTACTTTTCGCGGTGATGGTAAAGGATGGAAAAGTCACCACTTATATATATATATATATATATATATATATATCAATCAGTAAAATATACAGTGTTATATATATATAATTACAATGGTATCGTTATATATACATGTTCTAATAGCAAATCTGAACAACTAACTTTGACAAAAAAAAAATCTGAACAACTAATTTGGGGGGGGGTTCTAGAGGGCATAATCGATCCAAAGAGACATGCATGAGCCATATTGTGGCATGTTCGGCCTACATCTCTATGGATAGATGCAGCAATCGAGACCTAATTTATCACGTGACAATGCGTAATGAGAAAAACCAAAGAAAGAGACATCGGCATTCAAAGGAAACGATCGATGTTCTTCAATTCAACCCCTATAGCTAGTTGTACAACGAGTTAGATGGACCGATGGACATATACCAACCAACCAACCACTCCTATCGGGTTATTTAATCAAGTCCCCGATATTTTTATTTTTTTGTGAATATCGTATTTGAATTTTGACTACAAATGGTAAATTGGACAAAATATATATCCACGTTTGCCGATACGTCTACATCGAAGGCACGTGAAAACACATGCAGTCTTGGCTATATATATATATATATGTTTATATATATATATATATATGTGTGTGTGTGTGTGTGTGTGTGTGTGTGTGTGTGTGTGTGTGTGTGTGCGTGTGTTTATAAATATATATACTCCAAAAGCTGTGGACTCAAAGCTGTTGACCATTTCTCCCATCCACTATTATTGATTTGCAAAGACATTGCAATCAGTAAGGTGTGACACTATATAACTCTACAATGACGTTGCAGCGATATCAGTATATACATGCATGCATCTGGAGAAGGTATAGTCTCCTCCAGTGACATAAATATAGCTAATTATAATACATGTGATTCTTTATGTATATATTGTATTTACATAAATGGGTCGTTCCCATGAATTGACTTCGGAGAAGGATGGGGTTGTAACGTTATTTATGGATACATTCCAAAATGCATAAGTACTATTTCGAGTAAAGAACAGTCAGCGTATATTGTATGCATGGAATATATATATATATCGCAAGTGAAGAAATGGCTTGGAAAGGAAAAATCTAATTCGGTTGGGGTCACAAACCAACAAACGTTACTAAATTATTTGATTATTGGAATCATATAAAGGTAGTCATATTAATTATATTTCCATTATCTCTTATCTTATCCATGTGACAATGCAAATTTGATGGAAAATATTACCGTAAAAACATATAACCACCACCTTTTCTTCAGATAACGAATACATGTAAATTAATAGCCAATTACAGCAATCAACATCTCAAATTCGAATATATATATATATATAAACTCTATTACATCTGATAGATCGATGTCGGTTTGTGTGGTATGACCGACACATTTTGTAATCAGGGCCAAATTATAGTTGGAGACTTTGCATGTAGAGAGGAACAAGAATTGACTTAAGCAAACCAAAAAATAAATTTTGTTTTTTGAAAAAACCCGAAGTTGGAGACTTTGTCACTGTCATCTACGACCAAAGAATGCAATTAATGTTCTCATGGAGTGAAAGTAACTGGCAAGAATTTGGATTTGTCACTATCTAACATTACATGTCCCACGGCTCAGTAGACAACAACACATCACTCTGATTGGTCGGAAAACATTTAGGAGTTCTGTAATGATTTCAGTCTGAAACTCGTATTGATTTTGATTTCTAAATTCAGATTCATAATGGGTTGCTTGTTTTGGATTATAATGGTTTCAAGAGGAAAGATTTCCGATACAGCCGCCTTCTCCTCTTCTGTCTTGGAACCTAAGGATGAAATTGAAATCAAATATAATCATTCAAAGGGGTTTGAAGGAGATTTAATCTCCCACATGAGTTTTTCTCTTATACAATTTTGAATTTTTGGAAAATTCAAATGAAAATTATATTTTTATAATCAATCAACAGGAAGCTCCTCGTCTCTCGGAGCGTCCGTTCCTACCAGAATGGACCAGAGTTGTTTTTTTTCCTATGACTAAGGAATGAATGAATTCGATGTATACATCTTTCTCTAACAAGCAGTGCATGTCACATTCGTAGACGACAGAGAAACGTGGAATATGGATGCGCATTTATTAAATATTTTAGACATTTTCATAACTTGACCAAAAATAAAATAAAACTCGCCATATATTTTCGATATTGTTCATCTTTTCTTTTACCCAAAAAAATACGATGAACAAGAACATTGCCGGGCATGTTAAGAGCTTGCCCTATATTATATATCCTTTACAACATTGCGTGCAAGGTTAGATACATACATATTCATATATATATATATATATATATATATATATATATATATAACGTTGACATATTTATTTTGAAAGGTCTACTACTAGTAGTTATTAATCGATCGCTCTCACATTCTTGGATGCATTTGTTTCCAGTCCACCAACCGTCTCAAAAAATCCATCACCTGTAGATACCATTAATTATTGTTAAAATAATTAGCATAAAAGTATTTCAAAACACATATGTGTGTGAGTATATACGAGTAATATATATATATATATGTATACGTGTATGCACTTGCCTCGGCCGGTTCTTGCAAAGAATACGATGCGTTGGTGTCCTTGGGGAACTTGGAGACAAGAATGCCAAAGCCTTGACCTCTCTCTCTTAGCATCTAATTATCCGTCACAGTACATTAATAAATAGTGTCGAGTTAATTTGTATAAAAATCTATATAATAAAACTATACATTTATATTATATTACTAAATTACCTTAAACGCGTCTTCATCCGTTCGATCGTCGCCGATATAAACCGGAAAAACATTGTTACAATTTCCGAATCCTATACCAAACAAAAAAAAAATCATTGATGAGTCGGAGAATGAATAAAGACACTATTGAAAATGTTATAAAGGCATTAATACTATTGTAAAATTACTACTCCGTATATTTACAATACTGCCCTTATAGAACGTTTTTTTATTGTCCGTAATTTTTTTTTTAACTAATTAGGTTTTTTAAAGAATCAAATTGATGGTCATGATGATGGAAAATGATTAGATACATAGAGACAAAACGGAGAACTCACTCACCAAGTGACTCCAACAAGAACTCAAGGGCCTTCCCTTTGTCCCACTTGATTGTCGGACGGATTTCTAACACCTGCGGTTAAAAAAAATAAAATTTTTATACTAAAATTATACACTCGATTTAGTTAGATATATTCCAACCAATGAGAGAGTTACACGTCATACTTTTCGACCTTGGGTCAGCCTCAACTGTGGGTATTCCTTGAGAACCGACCGAACCCGTTGAGCCAACTCGCTCCATTTCTGTATTTAAAAATTATTCTCATAGTCAGCTTCCCCTCTCTTTTATTTTTTTAATCCTTATATTATACGTATACATACAATATATATATATATAACAAATATTTATACTTTTTTAAATAAAATTTTTTACCTGCTCATCGACACACCGGAAGTGAACAGAGACGCAAAATCTGTTGTTTTCCACCTTGGCTCCAGGGACCGATTTCGTGTTCTCCACAAGTTGTTTATAAACCTTTTTCAACATACATTTACAATAAATATTATTTAATTGTACATTATATAACTCTGGAATTAATCCACGCATCAGCACTGTACGGACGAAATGAAAATTATTACCTCATCGATCAAGGGAAGAAACTCGCTCGCCGGTTGGAAAAGAACCGATTGTTTGTCCTGATGAATACGAAGAATCAAAACCATTTGAAATTAAATTAAGATTCATTATATCATTTTTTGTTATTAGATTTTGGAAATAACCCTAAATGATATTTCACCTTCTTGTATTTGGAGAAGCCTTTCGTCGGACCCTTGATGTCCATGCCATGACTGCCTGCGTAATATAACTCTGCAAGCTTCACGAAGCTATACACCTGCAATATTTCCACCACAATCAAATAAAATATAACCTATTCGTTAAAAAAAATGAATTTATCAAGATGGTGGAAATTAATACATATAGTATGGTTTAAAGAAAAACTATATGCATGATCGATCTTCATGGTACCTTGTCTCGGCATCTTCCACTCACTATAGCTGTCGGGAAACATTTTGCCACCTTTCTTACAGTTCTTCTCATCTGCAACGAAACAGAGCGATGAATACAGACACAGAGTAGCAGAAAACCAGTTCGCATTCATTTCAGTGGAAATGGACAACGAAAAAGAAACCTTGCTCGACATGAAAGCTCGATCGGGATCCTCGACGATGGGAGAAAGCGTGCCGTCGTAGTCCAAGAACATGACGATCTGTTTCCCTCTCGAAGCTTCGATGATCTGCTCGAACATGTCCAGTGCCGAAGGATGTTGCATCTATGCCCAATCGACAAAAAAAAAATCAGATTGAAGCAGGACGTAAGGCCGAAGAAATGGATAGTCCGTCGGAACTTACGATCCAAGAGTTTCGTTCGTCGGCGGAAAGAGAAGGCACTGACTTGAGGTGGGTGGGGGAAGAAGCGCGCATGGAGTCGACCCAGGCGTTGATTCTGTGGCCGCCATTGATGTCGAGGTTCTTGAGGAGCTTCTTCCTGGAAATCGAGATGTACCCAGGTGCCGTCGGAGGTTTCTGAGCGGAGGGAGTGAAGACGGCAGAGTTGGAGACGGCCATGGCGATGATCCCTGACTTGGACTCGGATACGACGACGTTTTGGGTCGCCATTCTCTGATTCTCCTCTACAAAGCTCACTGGAAAAGTGAAAACAGGGCACAGACATTAAAAAAAAAAAACAGGGAATTTCCGGTACAGAGAGTGAAATGATCCCATGGAGGACGTCAAAAGCCGCGAAATCTAGAAAACCGAGACTTACCCATTTGAGGAAACTAGGGATTTGAGGGGAATACCTGATTTAGGGAATGGGATTAAAGTTGGTTTGGGAAAAAATTGGAAACTTGAGAGGACAAAGAGAAGAAACAGGGAAAAGGTAGAAGGCGATGCTCTGTTCTTCGAATCCCAAGTGTTTTCCACTCTTCGAACGGACGAGAGAGAGAGAGAGAGATGGTGGGATGTGAGAGGGATGGGAAGCCCGAGTGGTCTTATATAGGAGAAGGGAGAAGCAAACACAAAGCGACGACAGAACAATAACTCTTTATAAGTGGGACCCATCGGGCCAATCCATGGGTCCCACCACCGCCACCCCGAGCTCGCTGCTCTATGTCGAGTATGATAATACGACTAATCAAATCTAACGGACCATCGAATTATTTCAATAGTAAATTGGATTTGTAGTCGAGACGAATAATTACTCGTTTTTTGAATGAGACATCGATTTTTTGTTCCTTTGGTTTGTTATCTCTGAATATTTTGTTTCAAACCCATTCCAACGAAATATTTGACTACATGGGCGGATCCAATTCATGAGTTATGGGGCATATTCCCCATTTTTTATTAAAAAAACTTAATTTCATTATAAATTTGAAACATTTTAAATAAAAATAGTTATATGACCCCATAAATTTTTTTAAAATTTCTCTTAATTTGAAGTAATTTTCATATTGCCTCAATGACAAATTTTTTTTAGGTCCCCCCATGTTTGACTAGTAAACAATTATTCCAATAAAAGAGTTAGATCGGTTTCATCGTTCACTCATATAGTAAAACAACACTCTCACTCTTTCGCGAGTTTGATTTTATTATTATGAGAAAAGATATATCTTATCGTAACAAAATATTATTACAATTCAATATTAGATCCAAGAAATTAGATTCCTTCACAGTAACTTTTCAATATCATAACTCCGAAATTTAAGTTACGTTATAAAAAAAATTAACCGAGCAGCCGACAGTGTAGCAAAAACTACGTCTCCCTACAATTGTTTAAAGGTAAGATGAGGTGCTGATCAGAGAAGTTCTCGAGAGGAATTACGTGTCGGAGATACGAAGTTGTTCTAAGAAGATTTGGATCCAATCTCTTTGAACCCATCAAAACAAAAATTCGATTTTAAATTCTTTTTTTTTTGTTTGGTGATGTTCATTGAATCTCTCTCTCTCTCTCTCTCTCTCTCTCTCGCACGTTTTTAAGATCGAATCCTCGAGGACTTATCATTGTTGGCAAGTGATAAGTTTTGGGGATTGGTGAGAGAGATTGTCGAAATATGTGTAGTGTCGATATAACGACATACACATGTGTCGTTGCATGTATGTGCATATACGTATATACGCATGCAGAGAAGGTATGGGCATCGATACAGGGTATATATGGATGTGCCTATGCGATGAACCGAACTGGAGAGACAGATTACAGACTCTAATAAGAACGTTGTCTTTCATCGTTCGTTTCCCGTCACAAATGGTTTATCCAATTACATGTTAGGTTTAATTAAAAAAAATATTAGTCAAAGTAAATAATATTTAAAATTTATCGAGCGACTCCAAAAGACAAAAAGTTTCTGGAGAAATAATTTGAAACTCGGAAATAATTTTAAAGATTATGTATGCTATGCATGCATGTATGTATATATATTGCATGTGCGTAAAGTTTATAAATGTTTTAGACCCCACAAGTCCATGGTTTCTCATGTTCATTGCTCATGAACCGATAGTCATAAATGATTACATACTTTATTTTTAAATAAATACATAGAAAGAATAACGAGAATTGAAAAATTAAAGAGAAAAGGAATATGTCTAGTACGAGGTAAGAGAGACATCACACATATATACAAGAAAGAAAAAAAACACAAGTTGAATAATGCGCCCCTTGTAATGAAATATCGAGAAACTAACAGCACTTAAATCCTGCCCGCTATCAATGTTCTTCTCAAAACCAGCTGCGGATCCAAGACACCGATCTTATGTCGTCACCTTTTTTTTTTGCATTTGACTATACATATATGTGTATATATCATATCGTTATAATTTATGTATTTATGTGGAATGCTGTAACATATATGTGACACTATTTTATTATGTAGTACAATTAGAATCGCGAATCTGCCTCAACGTCAGTCCATATGTCTGGATGTATTTCATCACGGTTTTTTACTCAAATGATCCACTTGGGTCGCACTCGCACCTATTTCACGCTTACACCATAAAAAACATAACACATTAATTTTTTTTTAAAAGACGAAATTACCCTTAATGAATACACGATTTTTATCCGTTCGAAAACAACTTCGTTATTACGACTTCATAATTAATTCTAAATATAGTTACAATTGATTCTAAAAAAGGTGACAAAACAATCATCTGTCTTATTTTAATGGTATATCAGTTATATGTTAGTCGTAATAAGGTCGCAAAAAATAAAAAGAAAAGGGTATTTCGGACTTTTTCAACCGAAAAGTGGGTTAAAATTGAAAAAAAAAATTATTTTTTTTCCGGTGGTGTACGCTGAAATAGATGCGACTCAAATGAGTCATTTGAGTAAAAAACCCATTTCATCATCGACTTTATAAATGTTATTCTCCTTGCTAATATATGATATCCCATTCTACAAGTTTATATCACAAAAAACAAGAATATTTCAAATATAAATGAACATGATATAATCAGCAAATGCTTGGTATTTGACAAATGGTCTTTTGTTATGCATCTAAGTAATGTTGAAAAATATAGAGAGTTTCAGTTTCTATGAGAGCCTGGTTGCTCTTAATTTTTCTTTTCCGCAAAATTAAAAATTATCTTCTTCATATTTCCCAATGGATACAGAAATTTAATCATATAATAAATGAGATTTTTATATTAGAACGGTTTTAGTTTGGTGGCAAGTCAAAAGCATATTAAATTTTGTATTATAAAACATACACAACGTTACAAAAATGTGAAAGAGGTTAGGAAACTATCCGAAATAATATTATTTATTAAAAAAAAAAAAAAAGAAGAAGAAGAAGATGAAGAAAGAGATTGGTGCAATTAATCGTATTAATTTTATGATTTAATAAATAATAATGTCAGTTAGGCGAATAAGACAGATCAAAGTCAAAATAAGCTGAGGGGGGGGGGGGGGAAAAAGATTCTTCGGAGACCGGAACTGAACATTTGACTAAGGAAACAAGACTTGGCACGAGGAGACCAAATTGAAACCAAGCTTGTTCGTATTTGCTTTGCTCATCAAAGTAAGAGAGATTCTGATTTCATACTTTACGATTTTCCTCTTTCAAAAGTTGATTCTCTCTCACACATATCACGAGCAGTTTTCAATAGGTTGACCGTCGTCTCCATTTTTATACGGAACCCATATAAATAATATCTAAAATATATTTAAATCGAATTTAATTTATAGATTTATTCAATATATATACTTAATTAAAAGCTTATATGCTAGTTGTTGGCATATTCAACAAGTTGAAAAAGAAAATAATTCGGCATGTGTTGTCAGGCGTGCTGATTAATATCGCTAACAAAATCCTCTAATTACACACATTAATTATAAAAAAAACTCTGATTACCCGAGAGCCATACAATTTCGGAAATTCTTAATCCGTTTTTTTGTACTTTTTTTTTACAAAGTGAACATTAATCAACCCCTATAAGAAAAGAATATTCCTCATTAATTTTCTTTAATACTAATTACGATGCTAATAATATTCTAAAGAATAATTTTAATCAAAGAAGAATTGTTGTGAGTCTTCGATCCATAATAATCTTTTTCTTTCGCCATGTGGGAACATCTTTGGATTCAATGTATGTTAAGAGAGCGCATTTTAGACCAATGTGAACGCGATCTAATGATATATAATTTATTATAAATTCACTAATACTTTTTTGTTTAAATTATTTTGGCTTTATGTACACGATACATCTACATGTATTGAGAATGTGTGATTATTTCTTCTTTTTGTTCATATCTTATAAGACCATGTTTTTTGGTCATACTACGTATGTATCCTTTTCCGATATTTATTTCATTTTTTTTGTATGTGTTCATCCCAAGAAGCAGAGACGTGTATGGAAAAATATCCAAGAATTGTATGAAAAAAGCAAATTACATTTGCATGTCAAAAGTTAAATAAATCATTATTTTGTTTTATCTTAACAATGCAGACGAGGGGTCGCCATTTCGGTTATTAACCGAATAACCGAGTCGAACCGAATCGAATAAGACATAACCGTATCCGAACCGAACCCGACATCAAAACCGAACGGTTATGATTTTCTTAATTCCGAAAAACCGAAATCGAAACCGAACCGAACCGAATAAAAAATAACCGAAAAAACCGAGAGATTAACCGACAATTTCTTTGGAAAATTGAACTTTTTACCAAAACCGAACTGAACCCAGACCAAAAAATAACCGAACCGAACTCGAACCGAAACCCGAATTGGCCACCCCTAATGTAGACCAAACATTAAAAAATCAATTGATGGTTACAATAATCACTCTATCGATCATGATAGGTTGTAAAGCACCATACATAAAATCAAGAATATGCATCGCTATAAAGTGTAGTTGTCAGAACGGCGGAGCAACCAGAAAAGGCTCCAAACGTGTCGGGCGCGTGGCGAAACCAGAACCGTATGACTCCTTGTAGTGCTTCGGACCCGACTGCACACGTGTGTTCTACTACCTCATGTACGTGTCCCCTACTTCGAACCCTCTCTTTTGGGCGGCGGATTCCTAAATTATATACCATAAAGCCATCGCCATTAAACTACTTATAATACCTTTGTATATCAATTATTATAAGGTAAGGGAAAGACATGCGTTCGTCGTACGTGCACCTACCGAACCCACATGTTCGTTTAGGTCCCCGAGTGGTGGAATATTGACAAAATACATTAATTTATGTGTGGTTTTATATATGATTAACGTAATTCGCGAGTTAACCACATGTTTTATGATTAATTTACGAGTCATGTTCTTGCTTTTGCTTTTTCTTTTTTTTTAATCACGCTACGCCTTCGTGACTTGTAGTAAGATGTGGTTGGGTGCATAATTGATTTAACTGTTTATTATATCCTACGTCTTGAGGGTTAATTTCTATAGAGATGAATGCTAAATCGTTTTAGGGCTAAGGTTGGTTAAAAACTGTTTCGAATAGCATAAATTTA